CCAAATCGGCATCTTCTAAAACCACAATAACTGTTTGGTGAAGATTGTTGAAAAAGAGTAAGTTGTACGTACCGTCACTGATTTGTCCCCAACCAATACTTACCACCTGACTGCCAACAGGAAGTGTTTGCTCAGATAAGTAGTTAATAGGTTGTATATAAGCTAAAATATGAACTTTTGAACTACTTGTATTTGACTTGGAATGTTATTACTTGAGTAAGTGATTGGTTCTCGGAATTTTATTAAACCGATGTCATTTTCTAAAGTTTCTCCGTTGTACTGTGGATGTAAAAAGTAGGTATCTGTTGCTACTCTAACCAGACTAGCATCATTTGCTGTTAAGCTATTGGTGCCTAGACGAATAGTAAATAGAAGACCTCTAAAATATTTTACGATAAATAAAAATTAATGTAGTGTTTATTATTTACCCATCTACACACTGTCCAGCTGTTAAAACCCACTGATTGTTCAAGAGTGCACCACTGTAAAAATATGTTCCATCGGCGGTCCGGATATAGATCGATGCCGAATAAGGAAACTGACCAGCTCTAGCAAGATCTCCTCCAATAATCCTGGAACCTGAAGCCACAAAATGTTTAGCACATATTTTCTATATTTATTTTACCTGGTTTCTGTTTGATCTGGCTTGAAATTACTGCAGAGGAGAGTAAAACTACAAGAACAATTTTGAAGTGACTCATTTTGATTATTGGAATAAAAATATTATCAAACAAAATGTTCTATTTATATTTTTATTTATATTTGTAAAGTAAAAAAGGTCCTTAAAAAAATATTTATCTTTTTATCTTTGTATTATCAGAACCTAAATATTTGACGTATAAATTGCTTGATTGTCTTCACGTCCTTTTATCAAACTTGTCCAGTCATCTTGATATCAAGCATCATAATTTATTGTCAATCGATCACCCAGGTCAGGAAAATTTTTAACAACAAATTCTACGTAAAAATAATACTTGGTGTCGCAACAAGTACATACTTGCTTTTAAATCTTTTTTTATTCGATTTGATTTTCACAGTAATTTGGCGCTGACTGTGAAAATCAATAGCATTTGCCCGTATTTGGCCCCCATTTTCTCTTATGCGGCGTTTCTGGTATTCCATGTCTGCAAAACATCGCAAGATGGTGGTTATATCGGGTGTTCTAAAAATTACGGAAAAACTCCATGGTACGTTGTTAAGAAGGCTCTGAAGAACTCAAAAAAAAAAGGTTAAGAAATGCCTGCACCAAACTTTTGAAAATATTAAACCTCAAATTTGAACAATTAACTTCGTAATTCTGATCTGTTTTAATGAACTGCATGTTTAATCGACACTTTAAAATTAGTTACTAATTTAATAATAATTTGTTAGAATACGATCCATCATTCTTTATTCACATCATAATTATGAAGTTGATTCTTCGACTTTGAAGTTTAACATTTACAAACATTTTGGTTCAGAGACTTTTTCAAACAATTTTTTCGAGTTCCATGACGAACATGCCGTGCTATCCAGGCGGTTACGGTCGAAAACTCGTGGTTGGAAGTCACGGCTATGGATAAGCTGACAGCGCCACGTCGTGCAGACCCTTCCTCTGACTTCTATACAAAGCCTACATCCCTTGTCCAGATGGCGCGATAGCTCGACTAGGAACCGCGCCCTCCGCTTCTGCTACGTGTTACTGTGTCATTTACCTCAATTTCATTGTAACTGTTCACTTTCAATGACTTTAATATTTAACTACAACCGAACAAGTGTTAAAGTTCCAACAAAAAAGCAATAAACAACATATAAATTCGCCTTACAATCTTGTGAAATTTTAATTTAAACAACAAATAATTCTTATTTGGGATTAAAATTGAACATCAGATAATTTATATGATGGAAACATTCATCAACAAAATATTTACATTAAAAAAACTAGCAAAGATTTATAAAAACAAAAGATCTGGTGTGAAATAAACTTGTGAAGATAAATATTACGTGAGGTTAGAAATTGCAGAGCATGAAAGTTTACGTTTAATTTAATTTATACAACAAAGAAAATTGCTGAAGTTAAAAATTGTGAGATATAGAAAAACTGTACAAGATGAAGAATTACAAAGCTAATAAAATTGCATGAGATCAATATTTGCCATATTTACCAACGATTCAAACAAAGAGTTTAGGTACATTATGTTAAATGATGCCTTGATCCAAGTGATTGGTTATTGAAAATATTTAACTTTGAGAGTTTATCGTGGACTATTTACCCCAACAAAACACATAATAAATAAAGACAAAGTGCATCGCGCGTTGCGAGGAAAACTCCTGATGCAATTTTTAATGTTGCGAGGAAATGGCTCGGAGGAAATGCCTCGGTGATGTAATGATGATAACGATGATAACTGCCGAAGGGAAGAAATTATTTTAATTTCCCGCCAGTCCACGATGTTATGAATTCTGCTTCTTACTTTTACGGTCTTTTCCCAGAGTGGGGCAGCGTTAGATTGATTTAATTGTCGTTAATGAACTATTAGCGATCTTGTGTCAGAGATTAAGAAGTGTTATAATACAACACTTAAGCTTATCTGCCCATTCACAATGGACATAAGACATAAGAACGAGCGCATAACATAATTTACGTTTTTGGTTTGTGTCTGGCTTATGCTTATCTACGTTCACAGTGGACAGATTGAACTCTGTAAGAATTGTTAAACTGCGCAAACGCAGAACGGAATAACTCCTGGCTAAACATAGAAACGGCTAACCTCAAACTGAGTCAATCAAAATATCTAACCTACAATTTCATACGATATTCGAACTTGACAACTCGCAGTACAGAACAGACTCGCAGTGTGAAGCTTTGATTATAATTTATATAATATAATCAAAGGTGTGAAGTGCCAAGTGCCAAATGTCAAAGGGAATTCAATAGCAGCATTCAAAAGTCCCTAGATTTTAACATAATTTTGACATAATTCGTGCACAAAGTTGAACTTGTTTCAACTTTGTGTACGCACACAAGGATTACATAAAACGTTCATAAGCATAAGAATTACGTTCGTCCACTGTGAACAGGGGTACACGTTTTCCATCGTTTCAACTTTATGTATTTATGTGAGCTTTATGTACTTGTTATGCCTTATGTCCATTGTGAATGGGCAGTATGCATCCAGAAACCTCATTCACAACTTTCTAAACAAAGGGTGTTACCCTGACTAAGTGAATTTCATGAAATCTCCTAATAAGTATTTATCTAAGCAAGTTCCTGATTGTTAAATTGTGTTAGAACTAGTTAACGATTCAACTCCTAACATGAACTGTGAATTTACAAACAATGAATTAGAGTTAGAGGTGACGTGATAACTGTATACAATGCTCTGACAGACGATAATGCTCCGATAAAGCATATATTTCCTCTCAATACAGACGGACGGACACGAGGGCATTCATACAAACTTCTTAAAGACCGGTTTCGTACCAGTGTTAGACAGTTCTTCATTGTTAACCGTGTGTTTAATGCCTGGAATTCTCTACCTGCAGAAGTTGTACAACGTACAAGTACAGCCACCTTTAAAATGAAGTACGATAATCATATTGACGAAAACCTTAATCGTAGTTAAACATATTGACTTCATACGCTTTATTTATTGAGTACTCCCATTAGTGAGCGCGGGCATAACAGGTAGTAACCTCTGCCCGATCGCATTTTACAATAATAATAATAAATTTACACGTGTCGGCGTCGGTCAAAAATTGCGATTAGAAAACGACAAGAATTAGCTGTCGTGGATGCAATGAAGAACGGGAAACAATGAGCACATGCTTCGTGAGTGTTCAGCGTTAGCCTTCTACAGGAAATCCATACTAGTGGACATCTGACCTAATATAGCAAAAATTTGGGTGTTCCCACCCTTTGCATTATGCAAGTACTTTCAAGAAGTTGGGTTGCTCGACGAGTAGAGGAAGGGACGGACACCTTTATATGGTGGTGGTGGGGTACAATGGGCCCAAAGGCGAGACCTAAGTGCCGTTTGGCTACGGTTAGCCTCCATATATGTAATTAAAATCCAGAATCCAATCCAACTCTTAGGCAACCAGTAATACACAATTGTCAAATAAGAAAAATCTGGTGTAAGCAATGACAAACCGTTTACTTTTCTGAAGGTCTTTTTGATTAATGTATTACGGTATTACGGGTTAATCGTTTTTGTTTGATTTGAGGGGAAATGAGTAAGCTCCAAATATACTTAAGACCACCAAATTAATTCCTAATAGTGTGTCAGAAGTCTGTTTTTTCTGTAGTTAACTAGTTACACAAGTAAAATAAAACGTAAGTAGTGTTTAGGATTCTTGAAATCACATGTTCTGTACCTACTAAGTACGTACATAAATATTAAACAGAGGTTTATTAATTAGATAAGTAAGTCAGTACACCTGTTTTGATAAATGATAAATTAAAAAAAAGGGAGTAGTAAGTGGTTATTAAGTTTTTAACGATATGCTCACTAGATATTATAACATGCGATATAGACATGTAGTCTAATAAAGATTACCCAGTGATAACTTATTTTCTGCATCCGGTTTCTGGTTTCTAGTGTTGTTTTGTTTGCTTTTAGTGGTTTCAACAAGTACACACTTGTGAAGTGTCACTAAAAAATGTATTTCAAAATACCACTTAGTCATCGGCAGCTTTTGATAACATTCTGACACATAAGTCTGCCTGTTTATCTTAAAGTAACTACTTCAGAAATTAATTTTTGACATGGATTAGGTGTATTCATAACTTCTGATTTTAAGCCATCGGATGTTTTTTAAGATAAAGTCGAACTGTTGTCGAAATTACAAAATTATTTTGCAAGTCAACATGATGCGAATTTTTAAAAGAACAAAAAAATGCTAAACGATTTAGCGTTACCATCGTAATAAATTTAAGATAAGCGAGATTACATTTTTATTCTTATTTGTACTGACATATAAATAAAAATCGACAACTTTTAGAACAGTAGGTATATACACAAAATGGTAAAATTTGGAGCTTTTCTGATCTGTGCCGTGCTTCTTGGCGCGGCACCAACGCAGAGCACAGCAGTCTTTAGAGGTGCGAAAACAAATATCCCAAGCAATATTTGACTCTCTATTTAATTTTTAGGTGGGCGAATAATCGGAGGTGAAATTGCTAGAGCAGGTCAATTTCCGTTCGCTGCAGCTATTTATAAAAATACCGCGGATGGTACTTACTTTTGCACCGGTACTATCATCATGGATGATTTTATTCTGACATCTGGACAATGCGTTGATGGGTAAAGTATGTAATCAAATTCCCCATACATATTTACTCTTCTTTGAAGGGCTATTTTGTTTTCAATTCTCATTGGAACCAACAATTTGAATGCAAATGAGGGTACTAGACTGTCAACCGACACGTATTTTCAGCATCCTGGCTACAATCCGGAAACTTTGGAAAACGACCTTGGGATTATTAAAACACGTTTGCCTATAACATTTACTGGTAAATCACTACAATAAATCTTCGGTTTTTCGGTAAATACCAATTTCAGATTATATTCAGCCAGTTAACTTTTTGGCTGATTTTCGTCTTCCTGATGGGTCGTCTGTGTTTACTCTTGGATGGGGTCAAACCAGCGATGGTTTGTAATTACTATAAAAAGCTACTTTATTTATTTTTTGTTTTTCTTTCTTTCTAGAGGAAAGTGGGTTAGTCAATGCGCTTAATTATGTCGTTGTAGTTTCTCTAACTCTTGAAGACTGTATGCTAACTTATGGTTCGCAAGTTACTGACAATATGGTATGCGTTGAAGGAAATTACAATCAAGGAACTTGCAGGGTACTATACGATAATCCACGTAGTGTTAAAATTCTAATGTACTATGTTTAGGGTGACCTTGGTAGTCCACTGATCCAGTATGGTAGTCGTGGAGTTACTTATCTTGTTGGTGTTTCTAGCTTCATTAGTTCAAATGGATGTGAAAGCACAGATCCTTCAGGTTTTACAAGAATCAGTCCTTACAGAGACTGGATACGTAATATTACTAGCAATAACTAAATTTATGTAAAAATATCAATAAATCATCAAAACAGTTGGTTAAATTTAGTTACTTTTCGAACAACTCAGTATCTGTTGCGTTATTGTTAATTTTGTCTTGTTGAGTTCAATAACTAAAATACTTAATTTGTGAATTTGAAAAATAGTTTACTTTCTTGGAGAGTAAGTGTGGTTAGAAAAACATAATGAAGCTTTTCTCCTAGTTACGCTGCTTCTGTCGTAACTGATTGAGTTGATTGAGGCAAATTTCTGGGTTGGCGATTCTGAATTATTGCCAGCAATGTTAGCACGTCAGTTCACAGTTGTCAATTTTGACATGAGCGCGCCTAAAAAACCAATGAGGAGATAGCAACTCCTGAATTGGTGTCCAAAATTTCAATTTTACATCAGGGATGAAATCATAAACTGTTTAGTATGTTGCCAACTTGACAAAAAAATATCTAATGGCTAAGTTTCAGTTATGGCAACCACTTGACTTAACTACCATTTTGGGTTGAGTCATACCCAAACGGTTAACTAAAATTTTTAACTTGTATCACAACACAAGTAGGTATGGAACTACTTCTCATGCATCCTCAATAAATGTGACTAATTTTCAAGTTTGGCGTTTTTTACCTGATATTTGTCACGACAAAATTCAAGCTGGTGTCACATACACGAAACTGATACACAAAAACAAGTTAATGTATTTTATTATCTTATTTCACTTTAAGTGCAGTGGTTTTCTGTAAAAGTGCTATGATTTATTGTTTATCGCTGACTACTAAACATTAAGGACGTATTATTTTGATAACACGGTAGATTACATTTCTCAGACGTAAACAAAATGTTGTTATTATTACTTAGTATCGTTTCTCTTTCGTCTTCTTTAAAGAAGGTTTCTTTATATTCGATTGAAGGTTTTTATTTATGAGGAGTGAATATTATTAATATTATTATTATTATTATTTGAAATTGAACAACAGGTACATGACCCAATTACAGTTCAATTATTAATGAAACTGATATTACCGCCAGCTAATGTAGCACAGCTATCATACTGTGGTGCACTAAAGGTATATTAGTCAGCTAGCAGGTGAATATTAAAACAGTTCAAAGGTATCACAAAACTGGTGGTAGTTGTTGCACATTTCGCTAATGGGAGAGTATTTCAGTACATTAAGACGAGGAAAATTAATCTGACCGAGTACAGGAGGGCATTCAATATTTGAATTAATAAGTTTTTTCAAAAAATTTAGCGAGGCTTTGATGCGCCTAGACTGCAAATCCTGAAACCCAAACCTCTCAAGCAGTAAGTTTTGGGGATAACCCCTAGGAGGATAAACTCCATCCAGTCTGAAAACCAGAAATTTCAAAGAACGCCTCTGAACTTTTTCAAAGATATCAATGTGAACATTCGCCGACGGAGCCCATACAACACTACCACACTCTAGCTTTGGTCTTACAAAAGCAAAAAATAGAGATATAAATGTACTTATGTCTTTAAAATCTTTGCAGTATCTAATGATGAATCTTAAGTTCTTGAGAGATTCATTAACAACGGCATCATAGTGTAACGAAAATGTAAGTTTGGGATCAAACATAATGCCCAAATCTTAGAAGTAATGAACGCGTTTTAAGACTGCACTGCTGATTGTATAATTATTGGTTATAACAAAGTTTTTGTTTGAAAAGGTCATTACATGGCATTTATCCAAATTTATGGGAAGGTTATTACAAGCACTCCAGTTATATAACTCATTAATATCTTTTTGAAGTAAATAGCAGTCGTAGTTGGAAGATAAGCGCCTAAACATTTTTAGATCATCAGCAAGCAATAATACTTCAGAACCGATTCTTTTTACTACATCATTAATGAAGATGGCAAAAAACAATGGTCCTAAAACAGAACCTTGTGGAACGCCAGATAAGACAGGAACTTTGTCAGAAACATGACCAAGGTACTTAACACATTGCATTCTACCCGTTAAATACGATTTAATCAGCTTCACTAAGCTATCCGAAAATCCAAAGTTCCGTAGCATAATTAATAAGATAGAATGATCAATCCTGTCAAACGCCTTTGAAAAGTCAGTATACACCACATCAACCTGCTGTTTAAATTCAAACGACTCAGATACATATTGGGTGAAACAAACTAAGTTGGTAATTGACGACCTTCCTTTGATAAACACATGTTGTGAATTACTTAAGCAGTTACGTACATGAAAGAATAAGAACTTATGAAGAAAAATTTCAGAAACTTAGAAAAATTAGATATGAGTGAGATGGGACGATAGTTAACAATATCATCGCGTTTACCCTTTTTAAAAACAGGAGTAGTAATAGAATATTTTCACATATCAGGAAATGATAAAGTTTTAATTATTAAGTTAAAGATAATAGATAACGGATAAGCAAAAACGGCCGCACAATCATTAAGTAAAAAACCAGGAATATTATCATAACCAGAAGTTAAGTTAGGCTTATTTTTTTTCAACGCCGCATAAGTATCTGACTCATTTACAAAGGCTAGATTAATGGTCGTATTTACGGACCCATCAACAAACTTATTCGAATTGACATTGGCAGCACTAGTAAACCCTGAACTAAAGTGGTCAACAAAAGCATTAAGGATATCTTTTGGATTATCAATTAATCGATTTAAGTAATTCATCTGCAAAGGTATTCCAGATTGTTTCTTCAAGTTGCTAATGTGACTCCAAAATTTATTAGGATTTTCTTTAATAGCAGTTTCAATTTCTCAAGATATCTGCGATGTGCCAACTTGATGTCATCCTTTAATGAAGAGCGAATAGTCTTGAAATTGCGAATGTTATATTCAGATCTGTTGGTTCTAGACAAACGCCATAATTTAGATTTCAATTTAAGTTTCTTTCTAATGTCATAGGAGAACCAAGGTGGATACTAGCTTAAACGAGAGAAACGAGACTTGGGAACATGTACATCCAAAATGTTGTTTAATTTACTATAAAAACAGAAACATGCTAACATCTTGGACTTAGTCTTCTCAAATGTTCATTGTCAAGTTGAGGCGTCTGACCTACTTCTGGTAGATGAAGATTCTCACCATCCTCCCCTATGTATAACTGTAAGGACTTCAAGCTCACACCAACGTCAATTTCCTATGAACGATGAACTTGAATGTTATAACTTTAAAAGAGCAAATTTTCCATTACTATACGAAACGCTCTTGTCAACAAATTGGAATTTTCTAGAAGGTAATTTAGACGTGGATCAAGCTTGTACACTCTTTTACGAAAAACTAAATCAGATTTTTGACATTGCAGTGCCGAAATATAAACCGAAAAACTATTCCCGCAATAAATATCCGCCCTGGTTTGATAATGAAACTATAAATAGCATACGCAACAAAATAAAAGTTCTCAAATTGTATAAAAAGCATAGAACGGATTACAACTTTAAGTTGTTCAAGTTTCATCGTCTACGGTGTAAAAAACTTATTAGTCTGTCTTACAAAAGATATATTCAGAAATTAGAGAATAATATTTCAAGTGAACCGAAATCCTTCTGGAGATTTATTCAAAATAAAAAAAAGTGTACTCGAATACCAGGTGTGATGAATTTCAATGACTGCGAATTGTCTTCTCCTAAGGCCATTGTGGATGCTTTCGCTCAATATTTTGGCAGTGTATATATAAAACATGACTCACAGTACAATTTTAATAATTCTCTTGAGGTTGCACCGCAGCTATTTGTCTCTGCAAGCCATATGTCTCAAAATGATGTATTTCTTGTCTTGAAGAATTGTAAAGACACTTTTACTACAGGACCGGATGGCGTTCCTTGTTTTTTACTAAAAGATTGTGCAGGTGTCTTGGCTAGTCCTCTGTGTAAATTATTCAACTTTATCTTAAAACAAAATCAGATGCCTAAACAATGGAAAAAAGCATATGTATGCCCCATATTCAAATCAGGTGATATAACCAACATTACAAACTATAGACCGATTAGTCTTTTGAGTAATTTTGCGAAAGTATTTGAGACTTTGCTATACAAACAGCTTTTTTCGTCTTTAAAATGTTACATATCCCCGCAGCAGCATGGTTTCGTTGAGAAAAGGTCTACCATAACTAATTTAGCTTCCTTTTCACAATACGTTTCTGAATCTATCGATAGTAGAGGTCAAGTAGATACAATTTACACTGACTTTTGCAAGGCCTTTGATCAGATCGATCACTTTGTATTACTAGATAAGCTCTGTAGGTTTGGTTTTTCTGAATCCCTGTGTAAACTGTTTCGCTCCTATCTCACTGATCGGGAGCAAGTAGTTAGATATCAAAACTTTTTTTCAAAAACCATTATACCTACGTCTGGAGTACCACAAGGATCTAATCTAGGACCGCTGTTATTTCTGTTGTTCATTAACGATATTGTTGAAAATATTACTTGTGAAAAACTATTATTTGCCGACGATCTCAAATTATTTTTAGAAATTAATACTACAGATGATTACTTGAAACTGCAATATAACATCGATGTCGTGTTTGATTGGTACAGTCAAAATCGGTTGTCACTTAATAAAGACAAATGCTTCGTCGTCTCATATACAAGAAAAGTGGAACCTTTACTCTTTGGCTATAATATCAACGGAACTGTATTAAAACGTAAAGAGAGTTCAAAAGATCTGGGTATAATCTTTGATATCAAATTTAGTTTTTCAGAACATATTAATAACATAACGAGAAAAGCTTATAAGATGTATGGCTTTTTATACAGAAACTGCAGTGATTTTTGTAACATAGAAACTTTAATTAATTTATACTATGTTTTAGTCAGGTCAGGTCTTGAATATGGGGCAATTATATGGTATCCGCAATACGACATATATATAAAAAACATAGAATCAGTACAACGTAAATTCCTAAAATTTTTATGTTTTCGATTAGATGGAGTTTACCCTGAACGAGGTTATGACCACTCTCAATTATTAAATCGGTTCAACTTTATTAGTTTACAAATTCGACGTAACCTCTTAATAGTGAAGTTTCTGTATAACTTAGTCAACAATAAAACTGATTGTCCGTTTTTGTTAAATAAGCTTAATTTTATTGTTCCCCGTATTAATTCAAGACAAAATTTAACGTTTTATACTTTTTCTTTCAAAACCAATATTTTACGTAGGTCTCCAGTTGTATTAATGTCAGAATCGTTTAACAAAATTTCATTGTTCTGCGACATTAATGCAGATTCATTTAATGTGATAAAACAGTCATTGTTGCGAGTTTAGGTTCATACATGTTTATTTTTCGTTTTTAACTTTTATCAAGTAGTAATTTGGTTATAATATTAGGATCCTATATATAGTTTGTTTAATTTATTTTTTTGTAAGCATATCTGCCACACTTTATTGCACAGAGTTAAGTTAATTTTTCCTGTAATTGGGTGATGTATTACCTGTTGGAAATAAATTTATTTATTTATTTAAATTTATTTATTTATTTAACATCAGTGATGCTTTTAAGAAAGGACCAGTCAATACATAATAGATGCTCATACAGCCCAGTAACATCCACTCTACGAAAATTCCAAAGCTGCAAGGAGGGATTACCGTTAATGGTTTTAGCTTTAGATTCTCGATTTTTAAAAGAAGCTAACAACGTTGGGTGATGAGAATCCTCTTCCAGAAGACGATCTTCACAAGAGCTAATAAAACAATGAAAGTTAGACAGAACCAGATTAAGATATCTCCCAGAGTTATTAGCGATATTATTATATTGATTAAGTTCAAAAAAGTTCAAAAAATACATCAACGAGGATAATTTATTATTGCCAGATTTATCACACAAAGAATCTTTGTCATAATCAGGAAGATTGAAATCACCAATAATTATTACACGTTGGTTGAATAGTTCTTCTAGATTACCTAGTAAATTGAACAATAGTATGTAGGTATTCATCAACTGTAGATTTAAGTGGAATATAAACAATGAAGATATAGAAACTGAAATAGCCAACACTACATTTAGCTCCAAGAATGTCTGTGAAAATAAGCATGTCAAACCCTTTAGACGCCAGGTCAAGTTGGATAGTTGAAAATTTGGATGCAAGAAAAACTCCTCCTCTAGTTACATTAGTTTTATCAAAGGACAGATAACATTACTTTTGCAAGAGCTGGATGAATGGTTAAAACCACTACAAGTGAAACACCGGAAAATATCAATACCACAAAAGATATAACATCTGTCTAAACCTATTAGGCAGTGTCCTATGCTAATGGCTTTTTTATAGGAGGCGATATCTACTTCAACAATTACTTGAAAACGGTCAGACTTATTTTTCACAAGCAAAAATTTAATCAACTTGTATACATTCTCTTCATCGTTGTTAAAAATAAACTCATTTTGTGTGACCAAAAAATCCAGAACACTTGATTCACTAACATCCTTGGAAATTCCTGCAGTTCTGATACGAGGCTTAAGTGTACTAACTTCTCTTGTATCATACGCTCCCGCAAGTTTATCATCAGCTAGACGTTTAAATCTAGTTATATCCTGATATCCAAGAAGAATACCGCCATCTTTAAGATTTTTTACTTTGCTAACAGAGGATGCAACAGAATCAATATTACCATAATGTCAGATTTAGTCTTATTGATGGTCTGAGATTTATCCTTGGGACGAACAATAACTGTATTATTTATACTCTTAGCTACTGTTTCCGCATAAGTTTCCCTGGCTGAAGTAGCAGAAGACGTGAACACATGATCAGGAGTTTTAATCGAGCTACCATTATCTCTAGCAAGTTTTACAACATCTTCCCGGAGGTGAGTATTCTGATTACTTAATAACTGGATCTCAGACTTAAGAGAATCAATTTGCTGAATAAGTGGCTGCAATTCCCGATTTATAATGTTGGTAACCAAATGTTTTAATTCAGCAACAGCAACTATTTCGTCATCAGCCGAATCAGTTTGTATACCCGTAGATGAAGTTTTTTTTTTTTCAGTATACAAAATGAGCACAGCCACTTATTAAGTAACTCTTTATCATCCATACTTTGATAACTTTCTACTGTTAAGCCACCGCATTTTATGTGATAATAATGTTTACACTGATTGCATGATACATTCAAGTCATTGCGCCCAATCTTAAGGAAGTATTTACAGCATTTAATACTCATAATTAAGGCGTACTATAACTAAGAAACTATATGCACAACCTCCAACGGAGGCCGTGCAAAAGAAAAATATCAGCGGCCAGCACAATTCCAGTGATAGTAACCAAAATACAATTAAAAAAAAATAAAAAAGATGGAAGAAAACAAAAATTAATAACCAGAGGTTAATTATGCAAACCAAGAAAACCCCCACAGGGGCAGAAATCCAAAATTGAACACCACTCACAGACCGCACACCAGCACACGTGTTGCACGCACCGCGAACGGAGATATATGTTACTTTTCCCTAGACCTATCGTTTTCAAAAGTGGTGGTTTTGATATTTATGTTCTATGACCAATTCTTGATATTTACTTCTTTCATTAAGTAGCACATGATGCACTTTTTCGGTATCAATATAAAAACTAAGACAGGGCACTGAGAAGAAAACGACAGTTAGAATGACTATATTTATAATTTTATATTATGCAGGAGTAACAAAATGACAGCAGTTATAATTTTTCATGAGGAATTATTCACGTTGAAGAAGTAATATTGTTTATCCACCCTATGTATGGACTAGCTCTTGTAAATCCTGATGGATCAGTACTTTCGCAACCGTTAGAACTTATAAAACTGGATACTCCTACTAGATATACCAGAGAGCTACTCCCACCATATTGTATCAGTGGGCTTCCAAGATCTCCCTAAATGGACGAATGTATGATTAGAGCTATTAAAACAATGCGTAAAATACTTACTCTACAAGTACCCTCATTGTAGTTACCACCAGCACAGACCATATTATCACTTATTTGATTTCCAAAAACTAACTGACATTCTTCAGTTGTAAGAGTAATTAGAAAAACGTACTGAAGTTCATCAACCAGTCCGGCAGTTGCTGTTAACATCGAAGAATTTTTTTATCAAAGTACGATAGGTATTTTTATTTAATTTGTTGAAAATACGTACCATCGCTGGTCTGCCCCCAACCTAAAGTCGCAACCGACGAATAGTTAGGAAGAGAGGTAGATGGTACAATGTTAATCGGTCTGATGTACTCTAAACAAATATATTAAAACATTTTATTCAAGAAGTAACTTCTGTCTATACCCACCTGTGTAAGTAATGGACATTCGGAATTCAATCATCCCTATATCATTAACCAAAGTTAGTGGATCATAATCTGGGTGCAAATAGTAGATGTCCGTAGCCACTCTCAGTGCATTAGGATCATTTGCGCTGAGACTATTGGATCCCAAACGAATATTAAACGTCACGGCCCTGTTAAGTACAAAATTGAGAAAATCGGGTCCAAATTTTTGTTTTTCAGTTACCCATCCACACACTGTCCAGCGGTCAAAACCCATCGACTTAACACCAACGCTCCGCTGCAAAAAAATGTACCATCGGGGGTGCTTTTGTAGATGGCTGCTGCAAAAGGGAACTGGCCTGCATTTGCATTGTGGCCGCCAATTATGCGCCCTTAAAAAACGAAAGGTGAAAAAGTTGTAAATGGATAGGGATTTATTTTTAAGCTAAATCTGTTGTTTTTGTAATCTTTACCTGATATACGATGGGATGAAATTTGAGCTGGTATTACACACAGTAGTGTGATACACAAGAAAACGCAATATTTCGTCATCTTATTTCCTGGAATGTGTAGTAATCTTGTACAGAAGTGGCACCGTAATGGTTTATCGTTTATTACTGATTCCTTTTTAATATTAGGACGTAAAATTTTTGATAAAATAATAGATTATGTTTCATAGATTTCAAAAAAATGCGTAGTTGTAGTTTATATTGGTTATAAATATTATAAATATTATATAAAATAAAATAATTTCAAAAACCCGGCGCCCAAGATTCTCTCAACTAAAATTAGTCGAAGATTATTCTACACGATATTCCTAAGAGACATATAATATTTGACAACAATCGGTCTAGTAGTCTCGGAAACTATCCGTCCAATAAAACTCCGGACAGACGGCAGACAGACAGACAGACAGACAGACAGACGGAAATGGGGACCTATTTTTTCGTACTTTAGGGGTCATGAATGGTTGAGAAAACGTAAATAAATAACTGAAGACTCATTCTGGGAACGATTACACGAAGAGATATATATAAAGACAACAACAAAATAATAGTCATTGGAGATTTTAAGGAAAGAATGGATAGAAACAACGAAGACGGATTACCTGCTGGAAAATACCCAAGTAAAAATGATTTAAACGCTTAACAACATGAGTTAGAATTTATGTATTCATCTCTTTCAGAAAGTATGATACCTATTTAAGAAAAATGATGAAAGACGCTAAATAATAATGTAACACTTGGTTTGGAAATGCGTGTCTGTTTGTATTTTGTATTCACTTTCTGTAAAATAATTCCTTCGTTTAGTACAACAATTTTTGAAAAATAGTAAAAAAGAAAAACAAATTTACTATTATGATTATTATTTAGTGGACAGATTTATAAAATATGGTTTAATGACAGGACATCGTAACAGTTAATTTCCCCTAGCTACTGTTATCAGCAATAAAAATTTACAGTTTATATACCTATTCTATTTTAAGCTAAAAATTAATTATATTTTAGTACCCTCTTCGGTTTCAGGATTTAGATCAACAAAATGTAGGTCATTTCTTTTATCGTTATCTTTATAACAATGATATTTATTTATTGACTTTAAGGAACAGTTATTACTTAATTATCATTATTTTTGTTATAATAATGTTAGTAATGTCTTAGATTAATTTATTTGGGAAATTGGCTTTATAAATGATAATTATTACTTCATTACCACAATGTAATATATGTACTCCACAAAATTTAACATTCTATTGCACTGTAACTTCAATAATATGCGAACTATTACTTAGCACTTCCTGTCCACAAAATGGAAGTTTTTTCCATCGTAAATTACCTGTTGAATTCCTATCGTTTCTTAAAACCAAAGACTGCTTCTAAAATTTCATTCCTCATTGTATTAGCTACTCAACACCGTAATAAAATATGTATTTTTTTCAAAGCACGTTCATCATTTATATCAGTAATTTCATAAATACAAAGTCCCCAACTTTATATTCTGTTGGAGACCCTAGCATCTCTTTCTTCGTTTTCAAGTTTCTTGTTCACTTGGTCCTTTCTTATTCTTTTTTTTTTAGAAATAGTCTTTCCGCTCATCCTGAAATGCCAAAGGAAGCTGTGTTGAGTATTTTTTTTTCGAAGATATATATGCCAAAATAAAGGTTTTTTACATTTTGTAAAATTTGGGTATAACTACTTTTCAGTGTTATCAGAAATAATCAAACATTGTAGTGTTCTGTAGCCACCTTTTGCTTTTTCCGATATTTTTCAAATACTTTTAGAAATATCATGACCTATACTCTAATAAAATAAAGGGCAGGTAGGCTGAGCTAGTACTTGCTAAGATAAAACTGATTTTACCAAATGACATACATTTTAAGAATACAAAGGGCGGGTGGGCGGGCCTAGTATTTGCATAAATAAGACGATCTTTGGCAATTGACCTACTCTCTAAGGAAATGAAGGGCGATTGGACGATGCTGTACTTACGAAAGTAGAACTGTTTTTGCAAAATGACATACTCTCTAAGATCATAAAGGGTAGGGGGTATACCATTTGGCAAAATCAGTCTTATCTTAGTAAGTACAAGCCCCGCTCATCCACCCTTTATTTTCTCATAGGGTATGTCCCCTGACAAAGTCAGTCTCATATTGGAAAATGCTAGCCCCGCCCACCCGCCTTTTATTTTTTTAGAGCCTATGCCATTTGGTAAAATCAGTATCATCTTGGCAAGTAGATAGTGTTTTTTCCATTTTTTTTATGCTAATCATATTTAACGTATTCTAAAGGCTCCTGCCATGTTAAACATTTGTCAGTAAAACAATTTATTTAATAATTACGTCTGTATTAAAATCAAAATATACCATAAATTAATTCAAAATACGAATAATCATTTTAACAGGAGTATTATAAATGGAAAATTAGTGATACAGTCCTTACTAGATTTTTTTACAAAAACGAACAATTATTGAAAAAAATGGGTTTGAATTCAACAAGGTTTGAGCCGCATTACTTTTTTTTAATTCGGGAGACTCTTGGGCAGCCATGAAGTATTATTTTGGGAGCCCATGGAGATTTCTTTTTGTAAATTATTTAAAACAATTTTGGGGGACTTTGCTGTTCTATTTTTGGAAAATTCTGACCTGACCTGTTTTTGAGTTAATTTTGGGACCTCGTTTTTTTTGAAAATTTATCTTGAGGTTCTAGGTATTCCTGTTTGGAAAGAATTTGAAAGTGCTTTGGAAGGTCTAGTCACTATTCTTATAATAATTTAATTCAATTTTTTAGAGGATACGTCATTTACTAAAATCAGTCTTACCTTAGCAGTCTAAACAGGTACTAGCCCCGCCCATCCACCCTCTCTTTTCTGAGAGAGCATGTCATTTGCCAAAATTAGTTTTATCTTAACAGATGCTATCCTCTCACCCACCTTTTATTTTCTTATAGGGTATGTCGTTTGCCAAAATCAGTCTTATCTTGGAAACTACTAGCCCCGCCCACCCGCCCTTTATTTGTTTAGAGGGTATGCTATTTGGCAATATCAGTTTTATCTTGGCAAGTACTAGCTCCGTCCACCTGCCTTTCATTTTCTTGGAAATAATGTCATTTTCCAAAATCAGTCTTATTTTTGTCATCCTAGTTGGATGTGAATTATTCTTCCTCTTTCATAAAATATGGTTTGATGTGTTTGCTTCGTTGTCATTTTTTAAGTTTTTTCTTCCTCTTTGGTGGTTTTATTTTTTTTTTTCTACTATTAAAGTAAACTTGCGAGCATTAAAGTCGGGCCACTATTCAAGAAGTTGGTATAGTGTGTTTGGACTGGCCAGCACATAGCCCGGATCTGAATCCTATAGAATATCTGTGGGATGAACTTAAACGAAGAATTAGAGATAGGATCCCAGTTCCTGGGTGACTCCAAGAGCTCAGAATTTTCTGCAAAAAAGAATATTGCAAAACAATTTCATGAAGTTTTTCGTAACTCTGTTTTAAAGACAAATATCTGGTCTTTGTAATGGCTTTTTTAGTTTCTTTAAGTGTAATATAGTTCGGCGGAAAATTTGATTCAAAATCAGAAATGTGAATAGTGGCCCGATTAGTGGCCCAATTTCAATGCTCGTAAGTGTATAACCACTGATAGTATCATTATTATATGGGACAGGTTTATTTTTGTCTTATGAATTTGTTTCGTTAATCGCAAAAGAAATAAAATTTTTCCATCCTTCTAGACCCTTTTCAATTTCAATAAACTGAACCGTTCAAGTTTCATTTTTTTTTAATTATGTTCGATGTGACAAAATAATTCTAGTTTTCGTTTCTGTAGTGCCTGATGATGGTAAGAAAAGTAGATTATCTTTTTTTTTATTATTTCTATATTTTTTGGAGTAACAGTTGCTTAAGTCTATATTAGCAGTTGATTACTGGAAACAGTAGTGAAAAAATTTCAGTTTTAAATTCATTTAGTTTTTATTAAAAATCCCATTGATTTTTGAACTTTGGATACATTTTTGTGTGAAGGGATTTTTACTTCCGAAGCGTAAACTAGACAAGCATTGTAATAGGGTCCATTTGGTGAATGGCTAAATTCATGTTTCCTCGGCATTTCACATCTTCTAAAATATGCAGAAGTAGGTCTTTCGTTTCCGTTTGCCTGTGATCTGCCTAAAGCTATGACTCATGCATTCTTCTACATTTTGAAAGCCGAAAAATTGTGCAATTTTTCTGGGAATTGTTGAAAAAGTGTTCACTCCTACAGGTTGTGGCGTGCATTTTTTGTTCTTGTAATTGATGGACAACCGTCTGTGTGAAAGACTTTTTGCAGTAAATATCCATCATCAGAAGCTTTATCTAAGAACCTCTCCATTTCTTCGAGTGTGAATCTTGGATTTCCTTGGTCTGTGTTCTACAGACTGTTATTTTAGGAAACCTGACATTTGATGAAATCTAGAACAATCAATATTTTAAATCTCAGAAATAATAATTGTGATGTTACAAACCTGCTTAAGATCAATATTTTCCGTTACGGAGAGCACTTTCTTCAGTTGGCTATAGTACGACCATAGTAACGAAGATTTTAGACCGTTACGAAATACATATAAGCCAAAAGTATTCTTTCGTCTACTCCTTTTGCATGCTTTCGCTTCCTCTATTCACAAAAATTCGTAGGTATACTGTTTTTATAAGAATGCCTGGATTTTGCTGGTACCACTTTATTGATAGCTCCCAAAGCTTCATCCAGGACTGCTGAGGGTAGAAAAACTTCGTTTTCGTCTTTGACTTTCAACAAGTTTAGGAAAATGTAAACAACTAGTTGTTAAGCTGTTTGTCACGAAAATTAGTTTCGCAGTCTACAGAATTTCTCAGTAGGGATTATTATAATTCGAATTTTTATTTATTACTTAAAATTGTATTCATATAATTCGTCAAAGTTGTCACTTATTGTATAATATTTATTGTTTTGCTGAATAAAAAAGTGCCAGGAATTTACGAAAACAGTTATATTCTTTTTTACAATACATTCTGGAGCGAAAATAAACAGAGATTTAGAATCAAAGTGCTACACTCAATATGATCTATCTAGTAGTACCTTGTGATCAAAGTATGGGATATAAAAAATATTACACTTGATTTGGATTTTTCCTAAGTGAATTACTGATTAATTATCTACTTGGTGTTAATAGGTGAGACCAGTAACATTTCGGATCCATGGTACATAAGGTGCTGTCCTTGTAAAACCTGAAGGATCTGTACTTTCGCATCCTCTTCCACTTATGAAACTTGCAATGCCTACATGGTATTGCAAAATAATACCAGTTTGGACAAGTGGTCCGCCAATATCACCCTGTAAGATGTTTTATTATCGTCAGTTCTGCGACTTATATAATGTGTTGTAAACGTACCGTACAAGTACCTTCGTTGTAGTTCCCACTAGCACAAAGCATGTTGTCGGTGATTTGATTTCCAAACGTAAGTCTGCATTCTTCGTTGCTGAGAGTCACCAAAGGAACAGTGTTCAGATCAGTGCTTAATCCAGCGTCCTCTAAAAATGAGAATATGGAGTTGTAAAAATGTTCAGTTTTGAAACCTTTGGTCGGAATTTGATTCTTGGTCTCTACTTACCATCGCTGGTTTGTCCCCATCCTGCAACTACCACAAGCGCGGACCCTGTAAGATTTGCCAAGGAAAGAAAACTTACCGGTTTTACATAATCTGGAAAACTTTTGTTACTCCATTTTGGAAACCTTTATCTTACTTGTTTACCAGTAAATTCAACAGGCTCCCGGAACTTGATAAGACCAATATCATTCTCCAAAGTATCAGGATTGTAGTCGGGGTGCAAGTAATACTCGTCTGTAGCCACTCTCACAGCACTAGCGTCATTCAAACGATTTGACCCTAAGCGGATGTCGAAAAGCACTCCACTGGAATTTTAAAACGTCAAAAATTTTCCAAAAATCGTTAAAGAGTTGAATTACTCAGCAACGCATTGACCGGCTGTTAAGACCCACTGGTTATAAATGAGTGTTCCAGCACAGAAGTATTGACCAGTGGTGGTACTCTTGTAAATAGCTACGATGTATGGGTACTGACCAGCATTGGCGGTGGTACCACCAATTATTCGTCCACCTGAAATTTTGGTAGGTATTATGTTTTTTAATGATAAAAGGTGACTACCTGTGGCTCTGGATTGTGTGTGGACTGCATAGGTCCAAGTCGTGGACAGACACAGAATTAGAGCGACTATTTTCATCATTGTTCTTGGAGTAACGAAACTCAGTTCGAATTTCTATTATATTCCGTGAGGATTATGTAATGATAGTAAATTTATCATTCTTATCAGCAATTTCTTTCTCAAGGATGTCTGTTCTTTTTGGGTGTTTTTAAAACAATGCTAGCATTTTTTCTTTTTTTTAACTTATTTTTTGCTTTTATATTTTTGGAGCTAATCGAAAACGTTATTTTATTATTTTTAGGTGTTTGAAAGCCTGTGGAACAGAAAATACATTTCCCGTTCCCGTCAGTTTGTCTACAAATACTTAGTAATACGCACGAGATATGTTACTGTTTCAGAAGTCAGGAAAAATGTCCGTAAATGACTTAAACAGCTTGATAGTTAAGTACTACATAGTTCTAACTATTAACATTACGTCGTTCTGGTTGACAACTGATAATTATGTGTCATTTATAAAATATGGTCTAATGATAGGAAATTGCAACAATTAATATTTCTTAGCTGCTGATATCAACAATAAAAATTTATACTTTATTTCCGTGCTGTATTTTTACTTAAAAATTAATAATTTCTAGCATATCCTTTGGTTTGATGATTTAGATTATCAGACTATTGTGTTAATTTATTGGATGGCTTAATTACCATTATCTTTGTCAAATTTTCCAAAAAAATTCTACGATTATTTCATTTTTGGAAACTTTATATTCAACTTACTGCAATTTTCACAGTATGCTTTAAAAAAAAGGTAAATTAATAAATTAATTCGACTTAAAATCTCTTGTAAATCTGAACTATGATTGGTTGAACTTGATCACGTGATCGTTTAATTACTTTGATCAAGTATCTGGCGTCATTTAGTGCGTCAGCAATCTTAAACAGTAAAAGAACAATACAAACATAAAAAAGTTAATACAATAATATAATATTCGAAGTACTTTATTTTATCTAAATTTATTTATAAATTAATGCATCATACAGGGTGGAATATAATCACTTTAAGAAAATAACATAAACAATTAGAATGTACATGGTAGCCCTATTATGCATGTTGTAAGTGTTTGTAAAAAATTCAAAACTGTACAGCAAACTTTGACAATTTATTTGCGATATCGCAAGTCTCGTTACAATGGAAGATGCGACGACAGTTTTTACGATGGATCTAATACTTATATTAATTATGTGTTAAAACAATTTCATTTTAACATTCAACGTTTAATAATTATTGCAGAAAAAATTTAATATATTTTTTGATAGTCAAAAGGGCGTAAGTAATAAAATTTGTTTAAATTTACAGGCAAACTCTAAACAGAAATCTTGCTATTTTTTCGTTCCAGTATATATTTTAGAGGAATTTTTTCTTAAAAATACATGTCAGAATTTACTTATGTATAATACTAACATCTGTTACAGGTAATAATATTTTCGAAATTTATATGAAAATAAAGTCCTCTTTCATCAATATCGTTTTGGATTTTGTGTATAAATTTTGTTTTTAAAATCGTTTTATTTTTTTACATTTTTATGACGGCCCCTATAACTTAAAATAAAAAATTTTTATAGACTGCCAAAGTACTGGCAAAAAAAAATATTCTGAATATTAACTTGGGCAAGTAGCTGTTATTATTTTTTCACTATTTAGGAGTATTAAATATAGGCGGGGGCAACGTTACTGTATTCTCAAATTTTGTTGAGAAAATGGAGTGAATCACTTTTGCTTCGATCATTAAAAAAATCTGTGAAACAGAAGTCAATCCAACGACCAAAAAATAATACACTGCTTCTGTGGTACTATTATGTTCTGTATTTTATATTTGGGCAGACGTAGATATTCTGGGTTGTGTTTAAGCATTGTACAATCCATTGTGTACCAAGATTTATACATGTAATGAAATAAATGATAAAAAATGTTTTACATTAAATCTTGGGGGAAAATAAACATAGATTTAGCATCAGAGTGCTAAACATTTTTCATTAAAAAGAGTGATCATCTAGCAAAACTAAAATAGAATCTGTGTTGAAAATTTGGAAGCAGAAAAATTGTGTATCACATTTAAAACTACATTGCTTTATTTCATTTGTGTTAATAAGTGGACTCCAAGATACTGCGAATCCATGGTACATAAGGTGCTGTCCGTGTAAAACCGGAAGGGTCAGTGCTTTCGCAACCTCTTCCACTTATGAAGCTTGCAACTCCTACATGAAGTTGTAATCCAAGTAAAGTCTGAATAAGCGGTCCACCAATGTCACCCTAAAAACATTTTATTTTGGTCTGTATTTTGACAAAAATGTGGTAAACTTACCGTGCAAGTACCCTCATTGTAATTTCCACCAGCACAAACCATGTTGTCAGTAATTTGATTTCCAAACGTGAGTCTACATTCTTCGTTACTAAGGGTCACCAAGGAAACAACGTTCAGTTCATCGACTAATCCAGCGTCTTCTAAAAATGAGAAGTCTTGTGTTAATTTTTGGGTTGACGGTTGGTGAAAAATATTTCAACATACCATCACTGGTTTGTCCCCACCCTGCAGTTTCAACACTAGCAGACGCTGTAAGGTTTGCACTGGATAGAAAATTGATGGCTTTCACGTAATCTAAAAAACTTGCCGTACTCGATTGTGAAAATCGTCTAATTTTTTTTACCGGTAAACTGAATGGCTTCACGGAACTTGATAAGACCAACGTCATTCTCTAAAGTATCAGGGTTGTAATCAGGGTGTAAGAAGTATTGGTCTGTAGCCAGTCGCAACGCATTAGGGTCATTCAGATGGTTTGACCCTAAACGGATGTTGAAAAGTACGCCACTAAAAATTTAGAACCTCATTTTTCCAGTAGGTAAAAATTACAAATTTAAAATTACTCTATAACACATTGGCCAGCCGTTAAGATCCACTGGTTGTTAATAAGAGTTCCAGCACAGAAGTAGGTACCAGCGTTGGTGCTTTTATAAATGGATGCTATATACGGGAATTGACCAGCATTGGCTGTGTCACCACCAATTATGCGTCCTACTGAAACAATTTTAGGCATTTTTTTTTTAAATGATTAAGTAGATATTTAGGTTTACCTTTTGGTCTTGATTGTACATGGTCTGCATGGGTGCAAGTCGTTGATAGACAGAAAATTAGAGCTACTAGTGTTATCATATTGGCGTTTTGGAATAACATCTCAGTTCGAATTTTTATCATATTCCATGAGGATTATGCAACGGTAGTATATTTATTGGTTTTATCAGTAATTCTTTTTCTCAAGGATTACTGTTGTTTTGGGTGTTGTTACATTAATGATAACATTTCTTAGTAGAGCATGCTCAGAATAAAAAAAATGTATGCAATATTTATCTAAATTAGGGAGGTTCAAATTCTTTGCGGTTGTTATGGAAGTCATAGATTTCCAAAGCCATCAGACGCAAACCTGTTGTTTATAATTTTGCAGTACTTTATTTTATGGTTTTAAAACATTATACAGGGGAGAATGCATTTACTGGTCGATTTTTGGAGTCTCGTAATAAAAAGTTCCTACCTATTGTCACAGGGGTACATTTATTTTGATAGACGTTAGGAGTGGTGGACAGTTGTATATACCATCAATTATCTTGTACAATTTGAAACAGGAGCTAGGAGCCTATCACGTGGTTAGCCCTGTACTGGATTGGAATCGTATTTCGGGAAAGAAAGAAATTTACAAAAAAATTAAAAATAAAAAAAAATTGTTGATACAAAAAACGGTATTGAATCTAAAGTAATTTTTATTACATCACGGATGTTACTATGTTTTTCTAATTTGACATCATTGACAAAGTAGTCATATGCTATTGGTTTTTGTTTGTGCGAAAACCCAAAATAACACATTTTCTCTTGATTCTTAAACTTTGTTAAATTGACTCCAGTGTATAAGCTTATTTACGTCTAAACATTTTTAAATCGTCTGCGTAGAGGAAGAGATTACTTCATCCATAAAAAATGTTAAATAAAATTGGGCCTAAAGTGGACCCTTGCGTAACCCTACTGGTCGTTAAGAAATGTGACATTTTAAGACAATTTTGATATTCTACATAATGTGCACGATCAGTTAATATAGACGTCATGAATGAAATTAGATTATCATTTATCACGTAAACCAAACTGGTTGACTTTATCAACTAAAAAACTATGTTAGACGTTATCAAATGCTTTCGTAAAGTTACATCAACATGTAGATCATCGTTTAATGCGTTCGACAAATTTTGATCAAATTCACATAAGTTCGTGTCTTTAACGAATCCGTATTACTTATTGATGATAGAGGAGGTTGTGTGGCTACGTAGGATTGAACATGGTGTTCATTATACCTGGAATTTTGGCGTAACTTTTCTTGCGATCAATATACGACGATAGTTTGTAGAAATATTTCCAAATATCTACCGCGTTCTATATCGTTAATATACTTTCTGTAGTCTATTTTAATCTAAAATTTTAGATCTCTTCAAATTGTAGAAGTAGTAATAAGGTGTAGTTTGTTCAAAATATGAAATAATATTAAATTTTAAGACTTGTTAGAAGTATAGGATCTGACGATGACGATCTTTCTTTGATTGACGAATTTTTCTCGCGGTGGACCGCAGGGCTTAATTCTAGATCGGATAAAATAAAATTTAGGTCTCGTTAACGGCCATTGCAGATTTTATTTGCCTTACGCAGTGAGCCAACTATTCTTCGTCATTAGTTCAACTCGCGAAATATCAACTATGCCATCTAGATCGTCCTTCAAGAGGAGGAGGTGTATGCTGGTACATTTATAATCAAATCAAATACAAAAAAAATTGAAGTTAGTGTGCATGAAAATAATGTGGATAATCCAAACTTCCAGCCTTAAATTGAGCTTGAAAAAGTTTGGAAGGCCCGCGAAAAATTCAAAAATGCAAAATTTTACCTTGGCTGTGATCGTCTAACAAAAGGGGACTTAGGATGTGTTTTTTTTTTAAACATGGCGGGAAGACGTTCTTTCATACGAGTGAGCATACACTGCGGGTAATTCGAGAGCGCAAGAAATAATAGACAAAAAGTTTGGGAGGGGGCTAAAATTCGTACCCCCTCTCTAGGAGGAAAACAGCTGCGAGCATTCACTCCTCAGCCCAAAAACCCCCTATCGTATATTCACCGACATATTAGATTTCAAATGAATCACCTTAAAAATATGAAAGTAAAGACAACCGCGAATTGACAGACATACACATATGAAAATCGAACAAACACAAAATCCTACACATGTTTTGAATCAATGCAAATATTTGAATATCACAAATTTAATAAAAGTAAAGCAAAATCTGAATTAAAGTAACTGGATGCAAATACATAAGTTATTACGGGCGTGTGGCCTCAAATTTTAAAGTTACGGCAGTTAACAGGAGCACAACAAAAATACCCCTGGGGGTGTTCTAGCACAAGCGGAGTTTGGGTCTACCGATCGGGGCTGTTCTCCCCCCACGACGGTGATTCTGTCTATCGCAAGCCTACCGCCAAGCACATCTCCATGAGGAATATGCCGACGAGACTAGGCCGTTACGATCGCCGATCCGCAGTTGAGTCTCGACTGTTTTGACCCAACAGTCGAGACAGCGTTGCAATACCGGCGACCGCCCCTGACTCTATACAAACCTGCGCTAACCGACTAGGAACCGCACTTCGCTTCTGCCACGTTTTCTGTGTTATTTAACCTCGATTGCATTTTTTTTAGTTCAATTTCTTATAACTCTGATATTAACAACGACTGAACAAGTGTTAAAGTTTCAAAAGAGCAATAAACAATATTTAAATTCGCCCTACAATCTTGTGAAATTTTAAACAACAAATAATTCTTATGTGAGATTAAAATTGGACATCAAATAATTTATACGGTGGAAACATTCATCAACAAAATATTTACAAAACAACACTTAGCAAAGATTTATGAAACAAAAGATCTGGTGCGAAATAAACTTGTGCAAATAAAAATATGTAAGGTTAAAACTGCAGTGAATGCAATTTACGTTCAATGAAAATTATACAACAAAAAACAGTTACTGAAGTTAAAACTTTGAGAATAGAGAAATATTGTCTAAGGTGAAAAATTGCAAAGTTAACAAAATTTACATTAGGTTAATATTTGCCACACTTTATCAACGATTCAAACAAAGAGTTGCGAGGAAAAAGCGTCTCGGTGATGTAAATTTTTATCGTTACGAGGGAACACCATCGTGTTATTAATCTCTAGCGTTGCAAGGACATGCCTCGTTGACGTTATCAATCTCTGGCGTTGCGAGGACATGCCTCGATGAAGTAATCAATCTGTAGCGTTGTGAGGGCATGCCCTGGTGATGTAGTCAATCTTTAGCGTTGTGAGGGCATGCCCCGGTGATGTAAACATGATAACGATGATAACCGCCTAAGAAAAGAAATTATTTTAATCCCCCGTCAGTTCGCGGTATGAATTTTGTTAATTTAACTGCCGTAAATGAACTATTAGCAATCTTGCGTGAAGAATTAAGAAGTGTTATAATGTAACACTTACGCATATGCATCCAGAAACTTATTTATAATTTGTTAAACAAAGAATCATTATCCTGACTAAATGAATTTCATGCAATCTCCTAGTAAGTGGTTTATTTAAATAATCCTGACTGTTAAATTTTGTTAGCACTAGCTGACGATTAAGAAAAACTAACTTGATTGGTAAATTTACAAACAATAAAACATGTTTTCTTTATTAAAAGCCGCAAGGATTAGCTACACGGGTTGGGGGAAAACTGTGTCGTCATAGGAGTTACGATTGATTGTCCTTTTTATTAACTACCAAACCAACTAAACTAACCAAAACTACCTTGCCACGTGATTACACTCACAAAAACACATCCAGACTGACGCTTCGGCAAGCTGCTCTCTGTCTATCAATCAACCCTCTAACTAAAATCTCCCTAGCGCTAGTAACTGTCCAACTATCCAGCAAGCGTTACCGTGCACCTGGTTGCCTACATTTAACGATTTACGATTTGATTTTTTTTTTTCAAATTCAAATTATTCAAATGTGATTTCGCGCCACTGTTAATTAATTTCAGCGCGAAAATTTTAATTCAAATTCGGTCACCACAACAATAAAACTAAATCAACCTAAAATTAGATCAGGAGTATTTTACAAGCCTATGTCATTGCCATTATCTGCTACAGCATGTCTGGACGAAGCACCAACAGATGTCTGTGTCAAGTTGGAAAATGTTATTATGATGTTAAAACAGACACCTACGAATTAAGTACATTTCTAAAATATTCTGAATTATGCAACTTCATCCAGATCATCAAAGACCGTACTAGAATAGAAAAATAATCTTCCACGCTGGTGAATGTAAGATGTGTTACAATAGCAAGTCGCTAGTATAAATTTTATAAATATGTAATCATGTTCCGGGTTTTCGTTTTTCTATGGGTAAGTTTTTAATATTAATGATTTTGTATACTAAAATACCTGTTGTCTAGTTACGAAGATGGTACCAGAAGGTACCGAAACTGGTCAGCACTTTTGTATTAAACAAATTGTTAACGATTTCATTATGCATCTCTACATAATAAGATTAACATGACCACGTGTAGGAAAAGAACGGAACCACTATTTTTTTTAAATACGGAAATTTTGTCCTCTAAATTTCTTCATATATATCTTCATATATATTGTACCACTGAACATTTGTTAACCCAATTTATGGGGCCACTAATTTTTATTGGATTTAAAGCAGCAATTATTATTATTCTCGAGCGTAAGCTAAGGAAGTATTGTAATCGAGTTTATCGGACGACTAGCCCTAGAGTACGGAAAAAATAGGTCTCCCGTTTCCGTCTGTCTGTCTGAATCATTCATGATAGTTTCAAATTCGCACTATCCATGAAAATCTGACAGTATTGTGATTTGTCATAATAAATTTATTTTAGAGTACATGTGATGATAATCGAGCATTGTTGACAGGAGTAAATTAACCAAATTAATGATAGCACTGACAGTTAATGCGAACATTTAAAAACAGGACGTCATATGACAGGACCTGACGCCAACGTAACAAAAAATTATTTTGGCCTACTGCGTGCGTAAAACAATCGTGAACGGCAGATAGATGGTAAAACGCTAACCAAATTTTGTCTAATCATCCAGATTTTTGGAAAAAATCGTTTTAAAATTATCGTAAGAAAGGTAAATTTTCTGACTCCATGGTTGTGGTTTGTCAATGTACTCATTATTTTTATGAATTATATGTGTTTTATATATTGGTGTACAAGAAATATAAAGAAGTAATTTTATTATATTTTGCATTACATGAGTATTTAGGAAAAATAAACATAGTCTATTATTAACTGACTTTTCACTAAAAACTGGTGATCATATGGTAAAACTAAAACAGAAATTATGCTCAACCCAGCCGAAAACATTTTACATCATGGGTAAATTATTGTATTACATTTCGTATCTTAATTTATGAAATCAATAATACAGACTAGAAACCCATGATACTACTAATCCATGTTCTATAAGGTGATGTCCTTGTAAAACCTGAAGGATCAGTACTTTCGCAACCTCTTCCGCTTAAAAAGCTCGCAATCCCTACATGAAAATGCATACCATATATATTCTGGACAATTGGTCCACCAATATCACCCTAAAAATATAGTACTATCGCCATCTTTTAACAAAACGATAGTATAAACCTACCGTACAAATTCCTTCATTGTAATTTCCACTAGCACAAACCATGTTGTCAGTAATTTGATTCCCAAAAGTGAGTCTGCACTCTTCATTACTGAGAGTCACCAAAAAAACAGCGTTGAGTTCATTGACCAATCCAGCGTCCTCTAAAAATGAATATGAAGTTCCCATAAAGTTTTCAGTTTTGAAGTCAAGTGTTTCAACGTACCATCACTGGTTTGTCCCCACCCCGAAGCTTGAACAGTAACATAGGCTGTAAGATTTGCACTGGACATATAGTTTACGGGTCTCAAATAATCTGGAAATGCTGTGTTATTCGACTCAAAATTTTTGATATTTTTTACTGGTGTACTGAATGGGCTCGCGGAATTTGATAAGACCCACGTCATTGTCTAAAGTATCAGGGTTGTAATCTGGGTGCAAGAAATAATGTTCTGTAACCAGTCTCAAGGCGTTAGGATCGTCCAAATTATTCGTTCCTAAGCGGATAGTGAAAAGCACGGCACTGAAAATTTAGAACGGAATAAATTTTTCAAGAAACGTTTGAAATTTCGAATTACTCAACGACACACTGGCCAGCAGTTAAGATCCACAGACTATGAATAAGAGTTCCAGCGCAGAAGTAGGTACCAGTGGCGGTGCTTTTGTAAATTGATGCCAAATATGGAAATTCACCAGCATTGCCAATTTCACCGCCAATTATGCGTCCCTCTGTAGCGTTTTTAGATATTTTTGATTTGTGATTAAACGTGTTTACCCTTGGTTCCTAGATGTATACAGACTCCATGAGTCCAAAACGATGACATACACACAATTTGAATAACTGGCTTTATCATTTTTGGTTTTTTTAATAACTAGTCCGTTCGAATTTTTATAACATTCCTTGAGAACTGTGTAATGGTATTTATTGTTTTTATCAGCAATTTCTTTTTACCAGGATTACTGTCCTTTTTGGAAGTTTTTACAACCTGATAACATTTATTAGTACAACAAATTTAAAAGTGTGGTCATTTAAGGAATGTAGTTCGACTTTATTTTTGATTTTCATTATACCAAAAATTATTATTATTAGATGTAGTTTATTTCAATTAAAGAGTTAAAATACTGACAATTTTATAACTATTTTAATGGATAATCTAACCTGTGATATAACTGGTGTTCATCTAAAAAATTCATCAGATTGCCATTGATTGCCATAATTATTACAATAACCCAAAAAGTAAATGCAAGAGAAAAGTTATCATTATAAATATACGTAAGCACCCACTGCTCCTTTATAAAATATTAGATTTGCAATGGTTTAGCATGGAACTAATTTCTTTACTTCTTGGTTTTATTAAAAATTGTTTAAGTATGTGGAATATGAATACACAAATTACTAATGAAATTTTATTCGCTTCACTTTATTTACATAAAAGATGACAAACTGTAAAGCCAAAAAGCTCTTGGATGTGCAAAAAATGTTTCAGTTAATTGCACACTTGCTTCACTAGTTTGATGTAGTTACGTTGTTGATCCAAGAAACATAAGCGTAAATCCTTGTAAATCCTGAAGGATCGGTACTCTCACAGCCATTTCCACTAATCCAGCTTGACAAGCCCACTAGATAGGTCAAAGAACTGCCACCATACTGAATCAGGGGACTACCAAGATCGCCCTAAATATTTCCTGTTGTAATTACCTTTCACTACGACAGCACGAGCACCACTCACCCTGCAAGTACCTTCGTTGTAGTTTCCGTCTACGCAGACCATATTGTCGGTGATTTGATTTCCAAAAGCAAGTCTGCACTCTTCGTTGCTCAGTGTCACCAAGAAGACGTAGTTAAGGCCATCAACAAGACCAGCTTCTTCTACAATTGGAATAAATTAAACGTGTTGAACCTTGAGATTGTAGAATTTTTACCATCGCTGGTTTGTCCCCATCCAAGTGTCGCTACTGAAGTACCATCTGGCAGGTTGGTGGTTGATATTACACTGACAGCTTTAATATAATCTGAAAGAAAAGAAATTTGTATTTGGCTAAATCATAATTAGGTGTTTACCAGTGAACGTAATTGGCAAACGCAGTTTAATAAGACCGACATCATGTTCCAGAGTGTCTGGATTGTAATCAGGATGCAAGAAATACGTGTCTGTGGCCAGTCTTAGAGCATTTGGATCGTTGGCGTTCAAACTATTTGATCCCACACGAACGGTAAAGATCACGGCACTAAAAATGTTAACGAGTAGTTAGAGATTGTTAAAGAACTAATTTACATAATTTACTCTGCGACACATTGCCCGGCGGTTGCAATCCACTGGCTGTTGATAAGGGCTCCGGCACAGAAGTAAGTACCAGTACTGGTTTGCTTGTAAATGGCTGCGGCAAATGGGAACTGGCCGGCATTGGCTTCATTGCCACCAATGATACGTCCCCCTGAAATATTTCCTAAAATGTTTTGTAATCTATTTTAGTGAACGTCCCTACCTATGGACTGCTTTAGGATTGCTTGAGTCCCAATTACGGACAAGCACAACACAACTGCAACTATTTTCATCATTTTACTTGATTGAATAAACTAAAAAAAAGTTTGATTTTCGATTATATTTAGTTTGGGTTGTGTAAAATATTTATGGTTTTATTGTCGATCCCTCCACTTTTCCAAGGATCTTTTTTGGCAATAAAGCTAAGTACCCACTTAAAGTGGATAAGCGGAATAATGACGAAATTTGTTTCTTGGTCGTATAATATTTCTGACGCAACCTTTTTGAAGTAGTAAGTTTTTATTAGTGTCCGCCTTGTAATTGTTTGATAATTTTTCTGTTATTAGCGCAATATTTTTATTGCTTGTTCAGATAGGGTTATAAGAGTTAATTGAAACGGATGTACTTAACTATACGACACAATACTAGTTAACAAGTTAACAACTTAATCTGTTCTTTTAGCATAGTTCGGTAACATTAAAGGAAAATTAGTGACTGAGAAGTAACTTAATTTAACAAATTTGATATAATATAATGTTTTATTATTCATAGACTGATAAATGCGTAATTCGGAAATTGTAATTAACAAATGAAATATTAAAGCAATGGAATGTCGTTTTTCACCGCAGTGCAATATAACGTAAATTGAGAGATATTTCGAGTAAAGTAAGACAAATAAAGACAAGAATGATAAGATTGGAGAAGTAGTAAAAAATATATTAAGGCACTGTTTTATTTACGACAAGAAACACAAGTAAGAGATTTTTTTATACCCATGAAGGGATCAAAGTATTTCCAGTTCTCACAATAGTAAATAGACAAAAATGATGTGCAGAAACAATCAACGGAAAATAATACTTGCTATTAAACAAAAAAATTGTGGTGATTATAACACAGACAAAAATAAAATAAAGAAACCTTAAAACTTAACTCAGGAGTCTTAACAATGAAAAATTAACATCAAAAAATTAAGATACAGGTGTTCCCAAGGTTGCCCTAAATGCTAATAAAATATGAATTAGAGGTAACCTAGAGAATGTGGTACTATAAAGGGTGTACTAAGGCTATTACCCTATATCTAGTTGTTTTTTGCTAAGGAAAGAAGTTTAAAAATGTTATACCTACTTAGGTATTAAGTACCATTTAATCTATTCAATCCGAACAACACAAGGCTTGCTTGTTGATTCTATACTTACCAAGATCTAATAATCGTATTTCCTATTATTTTTCCTGTCTCCTATAATTGGCGCCAGCCACTTAAATCCATCTTAAAATTTCGTCAGCGAGATTGTTATAAAGTGATGGAAAACACTTAATTTGTCAAATTATTCAAGGTTGACGAATTAGTTTGTAAAGAATTGCGCATTCTTAAGAACGTGTCTCTTATTTGGTCAAAATCACTGTGGCAGCAATTTTTAAAAAAGGATGTATAACTGACTGCAGCAATTACAGACTTACATCTGTGTGTTGTAAGGTAATGCAAAAAATTATATGTGTCTCCTTTCATGTTCTTCATAAAAGGTCTAGGACCATTGATCGAAATGATCCTGTTGACATCGTCACATCATATATATTGATTCTCCAAAGGCATTTGACAAGTCTCACACGTAGACTGGTATTCAAAATTAGCAAAATAGGGATTCAAAATGTTAAAATGACTTTCAGCCTTTCTTTTTGATCGTGTGTAAAAGTTGGTGGCTCTTTTTCCAAAACTTTTACCGTACCACAAGCTTCCGTTCTGGGTCCTATCTAATTTACCCCATACATATCTGACTTAAGTTACTCATTAAATTCTGACCACTCTTTCTTTGTGGCAGACCTTAAAATGGCTAATAAGTGATAACCTTAATAATAATCATAAACATCTTCGTCAACGACATAAGTACGTTAGGTACTAAACTGGTGCAAAACTTGGTTGATTCCTATTAACAGAAAAAAGTGTGCAGTTCTACATCTGGGTTCCAATAACTAACTGAGCAGGTTACATCTACTGTTTAACAGACTTAAAGTATCATAAAATATATAATCATTCCTTGGTTTTATAAAACTTACGTCAGGCTACCTATTCCCTATTTCGATAGTCTGTCGGAATTAAAGCTTTGTCCTTTTTCGGAAAGACGCCTAACCAATAATCTTATCTGGACTTTCAAAATCTTTGTCTAATTTTTTTTACACCAGTCATGACAAACGTTTAAGGGGTCATTAGTTTAAGTTATATCACAAACAATATAACACAATTGAAATTAAAAATTGTCGCCTCCATAAGGTCCAATATTTCTTATGAAAATATATTATAAATTCTTATTGTAATCGGTGACTCATGAGGTTAGTAAGCATTTTAAAGTCTCAGTTCTAAGTTATATTAATAATAACATTACCAATAAATATTAGAAGACTTGAACACTGTGATAACCCAAACATCCCGCCTTAAATTGACATGTGAAAAAAAAATTTTGAATTTCAAAAAGAAAATAAAACTTTCCAAAATTTTGAATGAAATCAAATTCTGAATCAATGCAAATATTTGAACATAAGAAATTTACTAAAAACAAATAAAAATCTGAACTAAAGTAACTGGATGCAAATACACAAGTTATTACAGACGTGTGGCGGCAAATTTAAAATTATGGCAGTCACCAACAGGACAAAATTTTAATGAAAAAAACCTATGCAGCGACAGTGGTACCAGAGCACTATAAGGGTGTGGTGATCGAACTATACAAATTTCATTCTAAAGGACAGCAAAAATATCCATAGGGGGCGTTGTAGCACGAGCAGAGTTTGGGGCTCCCGGTCGTGGCTGTTCTCCTACCTACGACGGTGATTCTAACTATCGCAAGCATTGCCGCACAGTACTTCTCTATTAGGGACATGCTGTACGAGCAGGTCGTTACGCTAACAAACTCGTGGTTGGGTCCCGGCTATGGACAGTAGCTGACAGCGTCACGTCATCTCGACCCCCCTAACTTCTATTCAAACCTGCGTCTTCTGTACAGCTCGACTAGGAACCGCGCCCTCCGCTTCTGCCACGTATTTCGGTGTTATCTAACCTCAATTCCGTTTAAATGTTCAATTTATATGACTCTGATATTAAACTACAACTGAACAAGTGTCAAGGTTTCAAAAAGAGCAATAAACAACAAGTCAATTCACCATACACCCTTGTGAAATTTGAAACAACAAAGAATTCTTATCTGAGATTAAGATTGGACAGCAGACAATTGTATGAGGGAAGCATCAATCAAACAAAATATTTATAAAACAAAAACTTAGCAAAGATTTATGAAAACAAAAAGATCTGGTGTGAAATAAAACTTGTGCGGATAAAAATTTTACGTGAGGTTAGAAACGGTAAAGCATGAAAATTTACGTTTAATTTAAATTATACAACACAGAAAATTACTGAAGTTAAAATTGTGAAATAGAGAAAATTGTATGAGGTGAAAAATTGCAAAGCTAACAAAATTATGCCACATCTTATCAACGATTTAAACAAAGAATTTATATGATGTTAAATTATGCCATGATCCAAATGATTGGTTACTTAAAACAATTAGGTTTGAGAGTTTATATCGTGAACTGTATATCCCAAAGAAAACACATGATAAATAAACACAAAATGCGTTCTGGGTCGACAGGAAATATGCGTCTCGATGATGTAATTTGCAATCCTTAATTCACGGTATCATGAATTCTGTCCCACTTCTTATGGTCTTTTTCCACGGTGAGGACACGTTAGGTTAATTTAACTGCCGTAAATGAACTATTAGCAATCTTGTGTGAGGAATTAAGAAGTGTTATAATGTAACACTTAAGTACATATCAGCATCCAGAAACCTTATTTATAATTAGACAAACAAAATCAAACGAGTCCTGACTAAGTGAATTTTATGAAATCTGATGTAAGTGCTTATCTAAACAAATTCCTGACTGTTAAATTGCGTTAGCTAGTTAACGATTAAACTCCTAACATGAACTGTGAATTTACAAACAATGAAACAAATTTACACAACGTGTTAGCGTCGGAATTAGCTACGCGTGTTGGAGAAACTGTGGCGTCGTCGTCGTTACGATTAATTGTCGCTAAACGAAGGCTTCCTCTCTTTTATTAACTACCAAACCAACTCAAATTAACCTAGCTAACTCACCGCGTCTTGTCACCATGCTTTCGTTCACAAAACCAAAACAACCATGCCGTGCCCCAACTCTCTACCAACTAAAGCCAACTTCTCGCTACCCAAGCCGCCTAACTATAATTCCAAGCAGAACTACCCACTACCCAAAAAGCGCTAACGTGCACATGGTTGCCTAAGTTTAACGTTTTTTTTGTTTGACTTTTTTTTTTAAATTCAAATTATTCAAATGCAATTTCACGCCGCTGTTAATTTTGTTTTAGCGCGCAATTTTAATTCAAATTCGGTCACCACAACACTTTTGCCGGAGAACGTATAATTTCATGTTTTTGCGGCATTTCATAACTCCTAAAACACCAAAAAGTAGGCCTTCCATTTCCGTCTGTCTGTTTATTGTCGTCTGCCGTCTGTCGTCTATTGGCAATTTTATGAGATACGTAATAATTTCAGAAACAACTGGGTAATTTGCTGTGAAATTTTTGAGTTGTTTTAAATACACAGTATAGACGCTAAACAAAATTTGACTAATCATTCCCATCAAAATTCTGCTGATTTCATCTCAAAACTTTGCCAAGTACTAAATCCTACATCAGAACTTTAAAAATTGTGTCAACGTATAAATCGCACTGTGAGAGCAATACTCACGTAAGTCAAAATTTACCGAATTCTTAAATTTACCATTAATGCATAAAAAAGTTAATGTAGTTTTAGTATATGTAATTATAAACGGTTTTTAATAGTTGCGTAATGCTCAAATTCATCAAAATGTTTGTATTGCATTTCCGAAAATTACGTGCGCACTTAATGCAAGACTGCCGTATCTCAAAACTAAGTGAAATGCAAGTAAGCTATGAAGCTATGAGATTTCAGTCGATGTTGATAATAATCTGATACTCCTACTAATTTAGGTACAAATTGAACACAACAAGTGCACAATGTGTTCTGATATAGTTAAGAATTGACCGAAAACATGGAAATCAATTTTTCTTTGAATAGGAAAGGTAGGAATGTTAATTAGAGCGAAATAAAAAATTTAAAATTTGTCAAAAATTCCGATGGAATTTTATAACTTTGTATAGAAAGGAAGTATATCAGGAAATAATGGTCAATCAATTCCCGAGCATCACGACAACGGCGGCATCAGACTTAAATGAAAATGATTAAACAATATTTATGAAGGTCCTTTAGCAATACGTAAAAAAATACGATGGGCTGAATCAATTATGTATAAAAAAACTAATTAAATAAAATTATAACACATTTTATAACAATTTAGCCATAGTACACTGACCGGCAAAAAAAAACCGGCCACCCTGAAAAATTTCGCAAAACGAAGCTTTAAAAATTATTGATTTAACTAGTGATCGTTATTTTATTAAAGAACCATTCACTATTGACATATAAGGTATAAATTAGCAAAAAAAAGAAGCCAATTAAACGCAGAATTAAATTTAATTTAACAAAATAACAGAAACAGAGTGACACTTTGAAAGACGTCTGTAAGAGTTAACGGAATTATTTTCGCGTGAAAGCGTTTTTTAATTGCCAAACTTATAAATATAATCAAATGATGAAAAACACTATTTACAACAACAGCCTCCTTTATTGTTTTTTTTTTTAAGAAAATATCGTACTTGGTCTGTTTCCGTTATTTTAAAGTGGTTTTGCGAAATTTTTCAGGGTGACCGTTTTTTTTTGCCGGTCAGTATAGATGTTGAATGAATTAATACTGTGATCGTTTTGTGTTTTGTTATATTTTTTCATTACAATGAGTTGCTAGTTTGCTCTTGTCTTAAATTTATTAACACGCAAGCCAAAATATTTGATATGGTGTAGCAGTGCAAGAGTCACGTAAGTCAAAATTTCTTGTTTTCTATAACGAGTAGAAGGGTCTACTCTAAAGGAATAAAAACACGATTAATAATAGATTGACAATACGACTATAATGTATTTCGAAGCCTTTGGTATTTAAGATACAAATAATATATAGAAACTTGGGAATTTTAAATCACCATTACTCAAAACACGCTGGTTTTGAGTTACGTGAGTATTGCTCTCACTGTGCGAAATATAGATAAACCAGAGGGATTGAAAGCGAATAAAAGACTCAAAGATCCAAGTAACATGAAAAGTTTCGAAAGTTTTCCCAATGACCCCGCGGGCATCAACAATTGCATCAGTTTCACACAAATGTATCTTCAGTTAAAAGGCATATTGACTGATAGACAGCATGGTTTGTTTGCAGGTGGATCAATATTGACAAATTAACTCATATGTCAGAAGTATAGTCAACGCCCTTGAGACTAGAAATCAACTTGATGTCACTTATCTTGTCTAGTCCAAGGCATTTGATATGGTTAATCATAAGTTACTAATTATGGAGTCTAGATTTTTCTGAAATATTAACTGAATTATTTGTTTCCTACATTGCGAGAGAACTAATTTTCTAATAATCAGTAGGCATAATTTTGTGGTAACTTCGGTTGTTCCCCAAGGTTCGACTTTGGGACCCTTATTGTTTTCAATCTTTGTCAATGGTATCACTGGTTGCATTAAACCACTGTGAAGTTGTGGTATTTAGTGATGACATAAAGATTACAGCAAGATTGCAAATAACAATGGCTCTGTGCTGCGGATAGACGATCTTGCTGAAATAGATAACTGTAATGTTGATTATTTTATACCAATAGGTTATAAAAGTCGAAGTGTTTTTTTTTACAAAATTAACAATGTTATTGTTATAAGAAGTACCAAAATTAAAGACTTCGGCGATTGATATGACTCTCATTTTACTTTTAGAGTATTGACTTTCTCATAATCAGGGCTAGGAAGGTTCATAGGTTTTATATGAGAAACTGGAAGGATCTTGGTAACACAAAAGCATTAAAAGTTTATAATAAACAGTTATCTAAAGCTAGACTGTGTGACCAGGAACTTATAAAAATTACAGGTCATTCAAGCTTTTCACTTTTGTAACATTTTAAACTTCTCGCTCGAGATTTAAAATAGTTCATTTATGGTATTTAAACTAATCTCACACGTTGAACTACTTTGGAAGAAATGACCTTGACAATTTTCATCCTTATTCGCTGACGTCGTGCTGAATTTATATATTTCCTGAACAGTATTTTATAAAACTGGTAATACTTAGGACATGGTTAAATTACACACAGGCAAATGCTGTGTTGAAATTTATTCAACAGAACGTTAAAGTAACAAAAAAATTATCCAAATGTCGTAGTATTTGATATCCATTGGTTGTATGGTTGGGTCCTAGTGAATCCCGAAGGATCAGGCGTTTCGCATCCATTGCCACTATAAAAACTGGAGATACCAACATGATACGCATTTCCACTTGCGCCATATTGTATCAATGGACTACCGCTGTCTCCCTATAAGAAATCATTATTGTTTTAAAAGTGAAACTATTAATCACTACCAACATACCAAACAAGTACCCTGGTTGTAACTTCCAGCCACACATACCATGTTATCAGTAATTTGGGAACCAAATGTGAGTCTGCACTCTACGTTACTTAGAGTAGTCAAGTATATGTAATTAAGTGCATCAACAGGTCCAGGAATATCTAAAAATTTTCAATAAATGAAATGAAAATCTAGGAAAATGTGTCTACCATCGCCAGTTTGTCCCCATCCCATTGTTGCCACCGTTGCATAATCAGGAAGTTTTGTACTAGCTAAATAGCTGATGGATCTTATATAGTCTAAAACCAAAAATTCGAATGAAAAATTGCATGAAACTTTTGAGCTTTAAGTATACCTGTTTGAGTTATGTAAGTTCTAAACTTAATAAGGCCGATATCATTTTCCAAAGTTGCTGGGTTATATTCAGGATGTAGATAGTACGTGTCTGTGGCTACAGTTAGCCCGTTCTCACTATCTCCTCGTGGAGAATTAGATCCAAGGTATATGGTGAATAAAGTGGCACTTAAATTGAGAATAGTACCATAAAATTAACAGTACTGTAATGTTACCCTTCGACACACTGTCCGGCTGTTAGTACCCACTGGGAGTTGATAAGTGCCCCACTACAAAAAAATGTACCATCTGCTCTGTTAATGTAAATCGATGCAATGAAAGGAAATTGTCCAGCTCGTGCACTCGCCCCACCGATGATGCTTGCTATAAAAATAATTTCATTTAAAACGTAAGACATTTATTATTTACTTACCGGAATTTCGGGAGTCCACTTTAAGGGGAGTTCCCCATACCGAAAATACGCACAATGTAAGGACAGCGAAAAGTATCGTTTTACACATTTTGTCAAAAGTTTGCAATAATATGAGTACTACTTATAAAGACTTTTCTTAACTTATCAATTTTTTATTACTTAAGGCCTTGTTTATATGACAAATGGATTGACGTAAATTAATACAGCAGATCGAAACTGAAATATTTTTCATTTCATTTAATGATGATTTGATAATAAATAACTAAAATTTTATTGAACTGTTAAGCAGTAATATTTGGGTTTCTGGATTAATCCTGCCATGCAGACAAAATTCATGATTTTTGAAAAGGAAAAAGTCAAAGGTGGGGTATAAACAAATGTAAAATAGTTGTTTTCCGCATTTTATACAGTAATAGTCATTTTATTGAGATCACAATCGTTTAGTAATGACCTACTTTACACTATAGCGACGAACACACATTATTAATGAAGTTTCTTAGTTTCATGTTGTTCGTTATTTAAATGCAGTTGAATGAGACGAAATTTCGCTTTCAGAATGAAGTTCGGGAATTTTCTTTAAAAGTAATATATTTATTAGTTGCAGTTATTGACATTATCAGTGGAATTTATGGCAAGGCAAATTATTTTTTTTTGCAAAATAATTGTTGACAAACATGTACCATAAAAAAACAACTGATATTTACTTATTCTTAATTTTTATTGACATTAATGCCCGGATGACAACAATGAAATAGATTAACGAATTAACTGACTACTTTAACGTATTTTCGACAAATGTGTAATGATAATACACAGGAAGCAGTAAATATATTATTAAAAAGTGGTACTTAATAATACCTTTATCGTGTTTTGGTTACAATGATTTGTTTAATAACAGTGACATTCATTAACTTATCAATTTTTATACGCCAAACTGCAATCAGCTGATTGCAACTTGATTAATTTTGGAGTAAAAATGGATTGTAAGAAAAGTCCTTATATTTGGATTATTTTTTCTTGATACAAGAGTACTATGTATAACATATTATTCTTTGAACAACACGATACTCAAAAACATGTTTTTATTTTCTTGTGAAGAAATAAATATTTTGCAGTTAAGCTCCTCCCCCTTGGTTCAAGTTGAACAAAAAAATTACCACAATTGAGACAGGGCGGGTGGGCGGGCTTACATTTGGGCTTTTTGTTTTAATATGTGTAGACTTCTTTTCACAAGATGAAACTTAAAACAAGTTTAAAATGGAAAATTTGTGGCGGAGCCTAATTGCAAAATCCATATTTCCTTGCAAAAATGTACCATTTTAACCATGTTCTAAGCTTACTGTTGTGAAAAGATGGCTTTGTATATTAAGAAATAAAAGGCAAAATATAAGCCCCGCCCACCTGCCCTATGTCAATTGTGATGATTTTTTAAATTAAATTCCGCTTCTTTGGCAACGACGATTAAAAAAAACATCATAATTGAGATAGGGCGGGTGGGCGGGGCTTATATTTTGCCTTTCTTCTTAATAGATTTAGTCGTCTTTTGAGAACAAAAAATTTTAAACATGTTTAAAATGATACATTCTTGTAGATAAATATGGATCTTGCAATTAAGCCCCGCCTCTCGATCTGACAACGACATTTTTTTAATTTCTTGTAGAAAAATAAGGATTTTGCAGTTAAGCTACGCCTTCTTGGCTCACGACGAATAAAAAAAATCATCACAATTGAGATAGGGTGGATGGGTGGGGCTACATTTTGTCTTTCTTCTTAATATGTGTAGACTTATTTTGACAACAAGAAACTTAAAGCATGTTCAAAATCGTAAATTTTTGCAACAATCAACTTAAGTCCACCACTTTTCTTCTACAACCTCTTTAGGTACGCCAAAAGTTGAACATCAAAGTTACTATTTACGAACGGCAACTTGGCAATGGAGTTTATAAATGACAGTTTTCAGCAATGTAAGTCGAAGTTAGTAGTCGAAGTATTTGTTTTTGCAGTTTCTGATTTAATCAGTAAAATAAATTGACCCATTCATTATTTTTCTTTAATCACCCTGTATAAGCAATTAAAAAAATATGAATGGAATGAATAATAAATCATAAAATTCACCATATTTTGTACATTTTAGATAGGGCTTTTTTGGTAAAAATTTTGAGATGACGTCATCAGTTTTTAGGGATATCGATTTGGTTTTGCAATTTCAAAGTTAAATTGTAAAATGTTTTTGAACATTTTTGACTTTTTTTACAAAAATCTGGATGTCTAGGGCAAAAATTCAACACGGATTCATAAACTACTAGTGGACGAGTATGTTATTTTGTAAAATTTAATTTACTATTACAGGTATAGTGCTGCAACTGCTGGTTCCTTTTTATGATTGCATTCTATTGTGAAGGAGTTAAGTGTTCCACAATAGGCCTCTGTCGCAAGTAATCCAGCGGTTATACCTAAATCATCAAGGGAGCAACTATCTACACTACACAGGACCGTATGCGCCCGTAAACCTTTAAGATGATTTATGGTACGTCTATTTACATTTTCAATAGAGTTCCTAATACTTGCGGTAATTGAGATTGCAGTGCCATAAAAACGAAGTCAGAGTTGGACTACTATACATTAAAGTCGGAGGGATGACGTCATATCGTTGGTGCGGATAGTCAAATTTTAGTTAACGTTTTACTATCAATACGATAATTCTAATATACATACAAAATTTGACAACAATCGTCCGGTAGTTTAGAAGCTAACTGTCTAATACAAATCGACACAGACGTGAACAGACGGCAGACGGCAGACAGACAGATGGAAATTAGAGACCTATGTTTTCGTATTCTAGGGGTCAAGAAATGTCGAAAAAACATAAAAGTAGAGAGTCACCCCATGGACTCGATTACAATGTTTACTTAGGTTATGCTCGAGAAGTAAAAAATGCTTAAATAATGGTAACGAAATTGTTCTGTTGGTGATACTAACGACTGCTGCTAGCAAAAGTTAGTGTAATTTATGTTACGAAAAAATCCAGAATTTCAGAATAATCCCATTAAAACAAAATTTTATTTCATACTAGAAAGCTTAGGAGGTTCTTTGATTTCTGGTTTCCTTCACCGGTAAATTACAGATGGAATTGTTTAAATACATAGCACATCAAAAAGTGTTGTAGGAGTATTATTTTGTATCTAAGAATTGTTAAACCAGTTGTATGGCTGGAGAAAAAAGTTTATTGTGTGTTAATTACTTCCACTTGAGCGTGTATATATAACGTAATTTAAGTATTCCAGATACGCAGTTTTAATACTTTGTAAAGTCGAGCCATTTTCTTATCTCAAAGTCGCAACTTCAGATTAGACGCCTAAATAGTGGGAGTTCCAGAGCACTTTTTGGTTGGAAAATTTGGGTCACATCGGCTACGATCGGCTTACTTCGGCCATAAAAGGATCTAATATTTATTATATATTATTTTGTTACGAAATTCACCCTTACGCCGCCCCGGTACGACGCCTATGGCCGTCGAGAGCTTTCTGGACGTACGCACGGCGGTGATGGATGAGTCATCATTGCTGACGGTGTCTGGAGCGGCTTATCGGACGTCTGGATTGCGGGACCAGAAAACTCTCGATGCGGTGTTCTGGATCCATCGAGAGGCACGCATAGGTTTGACGACTCGTTTTCTAATTTTGAGATTCCTACTCTAAAATAACATCTTACGAAACTTGTTTTCAATATACTATTTCGTTATTTTTGTTAGCCTACAGCGGTTTAATTTTTATAGTACCATGATAAGTGTTGTTATCAGTGTTGAATTAGAATGTAACAGTGAGATAGTTGTGTTATGAATACAATGAAACAAATTACAGTTATCATTACAAATTACGTAAAATTTATGACAACATTGTGTGTGTTTAAAATTTGTTAAACTATGTCTGTTACATTTCTGATCCAGTCTACATAGGTGTAAGTTCTTGTGTATCCGGAAGGTTCCGGAGTATCGCACCCATTTTGGCTTATAAAACTTGCTATACCCATATGAGTCGTACGCGGTCCATTTGAATATCTTACTAATGGAATCCCGTTATCACCCTAAAATTTGCTTTATAAAAACGGCAATCACAAGCTGAAAACTTATATACGTGGCAAAAACCTTCATTGAAATTCCCTCCAACGCAAACCATGGAATCTTTAACTTGATTACCATAAAACAGCTTACACTCGTCGTTTGAAATTGGAAGGAGATAAACGAACTGAAGTTCATCTTCTATTCCAGCGTCCTCTGAAATTTTCATGTTACAGAAGTAAGTAGTTGTATTTGAGTTAAGTAAGTAGATTTACCATCGCTAGTTTGTCCCCAACCCATGGACATTAAGCCACCAGTATTTGGTTGAAGCTCATAGGTTGGAAGTTGATTAACTGGTTTAATATAGTCTAAAATCAAATAAAGAGTGACTGTGAAGTTTCTACAATAACTAAAATTTGGTACCTGTGAAGGTAATCGGTATGCGTAGCTGAATTAAACCAATGTCATTTTCCAGAGTGTCTGGATTGAAATCTGGATGTATCACGTAAATATCTGTAGCTAGTCTTAGACTATTAGCATCAACATCTTTCAAGTTTATGGTACCTAAGTAAATTGTAAAAAGAACTGCCCTAAAATTAAGAACAAAATAAACGGATTATGGTACATAAATATATATTAAATTTACTCGTAGACACAGTTTCCTGATGTTAAAATCCACTGGTTGTTCATAAGAGCGCCTCCACAAAAATAATTTCCGTCGTTTGTTTGCTTATAGATGGCAGCAATGTATGGAATTTGCCCAGCAAATGCATGATCGCCTCCTATAACTCGTGGCGTCAGCGATTTCTGGTATAACGTCAGTTAGTATGTTATTAAAGGAATCACAGTTGCTCTTTTTAATTACTTACACTCTTGGTCCACGTGGGTAAGAAAATAGCAGAGATGAGGGCAATTAGACATACTTTAAGAATCATTTTGAGATATAAAAACGAACTTAAAAAAAATGTTGCTAACCGTAGAAGCTATCGAGATTAAACTTTTGATCTAGAGGTTGTTATTTATGTTTACAGCGAGGATTAAGTTTTATTTCGTTACAAATTTTATCTAAATTACCTTAAAAAATGTGAAAAGGACACATGAGCCATAATTTTACACTGTACTTGTATTATAGAACGGGATAATTCTTTTGCTGTATCTACGTTTAATTGCTCAATAGTTCATTAATTTGTTATACTTATATTTTTAGTCATCACCGTGTACCCATATTTGTTTCTAATTCCCTACCCATGTTTTGAGGCGACGAATTCATTCAAATTAAACTAATTTCTACGTGACATTCTTCCGATGTATAAGCATAAACACTTTCCAGTTGTTTTATTTATCGGGCGTAAACTAAGGACGTACAGTAATGGAGGCCATCGAGTAATTTGGTACTATCATATTTTCTCAACGTTTCATGATCCTTAGACAAGACCGCAGTTAGCGGGAGCCCAAGGGATGCTGAACCTGAATAAGTACATTCTTTTCAACGAATGGTATTTATCAAGTAAGCTATTATTTTATTTTTATAAAATGTCAGTTACATTTCTTATCCAATCTACATATTCATAAGTTCTTGTATATCCAGACGGTTCAGGTGTTTCGCATCCATTTGTACTAATAAAACTGGCAATCGCTACGTGAGTAGTACGAGGACCGTTGCTAAATCGTACCAAAGGAGTACCGCTATCACCCTAAAAATTAGAATAAGTAAATCAGTAATATAAAATCTGCGACCCTAATATATATTTATAACTAACCCTACAAAAACCTTCGTTGTATCGTCCAGCAGCGCAAACCATAGTATCCAAAATTTGATTTCCAAAAGTAAGCTGACATTCCTCATTTGAAATTGGTGTTAAATGGACATAATGCAGTTCATCCACTATTCCAGGGGTATCTATTACAAAGTAAAAAGTTTTTGGTTAATTTAAAAATGCACCTACGTCTACTACCATCATCTAGTTGTCCCCAACCCATGGTCATTATACCAGCAGTGTTTGGTACCAATTCATAATTCGGGAGGAAGTCGACAGGTTTAATGTACACTAAAATTTTTCTAATTTTAGAAATTTTTCGTAATGATTTAAATAACGAAGTTGTACTTGTAAATGTTACTGGAGCGCGCAATTTTATTAATCCGATATCGTTTTCCAAAGTGTTTGGATTATAATCTGGATGCAAGATATAGGTATCAGCGGCTAGTTTTTCTGCTGTTGGTTCGTTGGCTGTTAAATCGTGTGCCCCCAAGTAAATTGTGAATAAAATAGCTCTGAAAGGTTTTTAGAAATTGTTTTCTTCAATTGATATTGCATACCCATCCACGCAAGATCCAGATGTCAATATCCACTGATTGTTCATAAGAGCACCTCCACAGAAGAATGTCCCATCGCTGGTACTTTTATAAATGGCGGCGATAAATGGAAACTGACCAGCAAAAGCCACATCACCTCCTATAATACGTTGGTTCACATTTTTACCCTACAAGTAGGAACATCTGTGCACTTGAAAGCAGTGTTTTACCGATTATAATATCACTTACGTCATACTTTGGTAAAATGATTAATATTAATAGAAACCCTAAAGAATAAGAATTCATTGTTGTCGAAACGGATTAAACTTGTATTGGCAGAATCTTGGTTTAGAGTTATCAATATCTAAAAGGTAGTTAGCAGTAAATAAATTTTTATTGCCCATTAGATGAGTAATTATGATCATTTACTAAATTCTTATATTGCATTGGTCGAACACTATTTTATTAACTAACGCATTATTTTATCTTGTTGCTAATTATAGTAAAATACAACTGTTCCAGATAACCTAAATTGCTTTTGTCAATTTTGTCCTGTATTCTGGTTTGGCTTTTTAGATTTATGGTCACATCTGGTATAAGCTTGACAAATTAAAGACTAAAGGGTCAAACCAAGACCGAAATTATTTAAAAAAATAACTTTTTTCACTAGCAGCCTGGACGCATGCAAATGTCGACTCATTTAGTGGTAGCAAATTCAACTTTTGCTACCACGGGTTCAAAAAGAAAAATTGAGGTTATGTACGCAATGTTTGATGTGATTATTTCTTAAAAAATGAACAAATATGTGCTACAAACATTACTTGAGTATACGCATGGTAGTTGGTAGACGGTAGAAGATAAAATGATTAACTCAGCGACAAGTGTAAACGGTTTTCTTTGTGTTGAAGATTTAGATCATGTTTGATTAGAAATCGAAACAAAATCATGTTGCGTCAAAAAATTGAACGTTTATTTTTCAGTTTATTGTCTTATTGTTTCTACTAGTGAAAAAAATAGTATATTAACCACGGTTGCAAAGCCACTTCTAGACCTCGCACTTAGAGCCCTCGACGCTGCGCGTCTCGGGTTCTAATTTGCGCTCGGTCTAGAATGCTTGGCTCTGCAACCTTGGCTAATAATATACTATTTTCGCACTCTTTGTTTTCTATTCTTTCTAGTTCCTACTCAATATTAGTATCACTATGTTGCCTCTCTTCCTCTTTCTTTGACTTCTGGTTCTTGGTTTGCCTTCGGAATTTTATTAACGTATGCGATTGCCCCAGGGAGAACTCGGGCGCCAATTTTTTGACGCAATGTTTTACGAAATTTAAACTTTTATAAAAACAACTAAAAGCTTTATTACGTAAAGACGTTTGAAGTGACATTATTTATCCAAGATAGGTAAGGTGCAATTCTTGTAAATCCTGAAGGGTCGTAGGTCTCACACCCATTTGCACTTATCCAGCTGGAAACGCCTACTAAGTAGTATACGATATTGTTATCCATCAGAATTAAAGGACTTCCAAGATCTCCCTAAATTATGATTTTAAGTTATTATTATCATTCGTATTATTATATATATTATATAACACTGCTCACCCTACAAGTGCCTGCAATTCTGTTGTCTCCTTGGACGCAAATCATGTTATCAGAGATTTGAGGCCCATAGATATTTTTACATTCTTCGTTTTTCATAGTTAACAAATAAACATATTGAAGAATATCAACTAATCCGGCTTGATCTAAAATAAAAAAGTCCTACTAACGTTTCACTTAACAGGGTAAATTATTACCATCGCTTATCTGTCCCCAGCCAACTGTCTGAACAGATCTATAGTCTTTTATAAAATCACTTGTAAAATTCAAAGGTTTGATATATTCTAAAAAGGAAAAAAAAAGATAATTTTTGAAAATGCTTTGCATGTGTTGCGTTTACCAGTAAAAGTAACAGTCTGCCGTAGTTTGATAAGACCTACATCATTTTCTAAGGTAACTGGGTCGAAATCGGGATGTAATACATACTCCTTGGTAACCAGGTCCAGAGCATTGGGGTCATCACGACTCAAACTTTCCGATCCTAGCCGAATAGTAAATTTTGTGGCACTAAAAACGGAAAATATGTAAGTAATGTAGTAACATTATCGAAGAAAATTACTCTGTTACGCACTGACCGGCGGTTGCTAACCACTGATTGCTGATAAGTGCCCCAGTACAGAAAAAGATTCCACTATTTGTTTTTTTGTAAATGGCTGCGGTATATGGGTAATTTCGGATCTGTGTGTCGTGACCACTAATGATACGGTTCCCTAAAAGGAAGTACAAAACGTATTATTATATGTATATAAATAATTGATTAATATAAGTATTTACCTTTTGATCTTGCTTGTATGCGGACTGGTTGATTACAAAGTATCAACAAACAGGAAACTAGTACTACTAAATTCATGACTTTTTTTCTAAAGTAGTTATTAAAAAATGTTTTTCAATAACATTATTTGTTGATGTGTGAGATGTTTATCTGTTTTATCGGTAACATTTTAGATTACTCGTAGAACCTTGGACATATATGTTGATTGTTGAAAGTACTTTGCAATCACAAGTAGTGTCGTTTCAAATTGACTTCAAATAAATCTTAAAAAATTACGACGCAATAATCAACTCATTTTCAATTTTTTCTTTAAATAATCAATCTGAAAGAAGGGTGAAGAAAAGTTGTATGTTATAAGACTAAGACGAATAGTAAAAAAAGTTAAAAATATTTATTTATATTTTTTGTTTTGTTAGATTTACATTTCTTACCATTTCCATTCCTTAATTCCAGGTCCTGTATACATTATAACCAATAGAAACATATTTTTTTAATTCAAAGTGTCAACTTACCCCTCTAAACACGGTTAACCAAATTTCTGATACACACAAAGAAAACAACGGATATTTTATTTTGGTAGGTACTATGTATTTTTTTAGTGACAATATTACCCACAAATGGTAGACGAAAGAAGACAGGCGATAGGCAGAACAAAATGGGCGACTTACGTTTTCATATTCGCTAAAGTGGTTTGGGGCTCCTGGTTGTGGCTGTTCTCCCACCACGACGGTGATTTAATTCTATCGGCAAGTACATGCCGCCCAGCGTCCGTCTATCACGAAGAAACCTGCCGCACGAGCAATCCGTTACGGTCGCAAACTCGTGGTTGGAAATCCCGACCGCTCCCCTGACTTCTATTTAAGATTTGCGTCTTTTGTGCAGATGGCGCGACTGCCAGCTCGATAAGGAACCGCGCACTCCGTTTCCGTATTTCTGTGTTATTTACCTCAATTCCATTTAAATGTTCACTCTCTATAACTCTGATATTAAACTACAACCGAACAAGTGATACAAAATTGCGAGATAGAGAAAAAATTGCATGAGGTGAAAAATTGCAAAGCTAACAAAATTACATGAAGTTAATACATATTTGCCACATTTTATAAACGATCCAAAGAAAGAATTTACATGATGCTAAATTATACCACACTTTATCAACGACTCAAATAAGAAATTTACATGATGCCTTGATCCAAGTGAGTGGTTATACAGTCTACCATAAATAAAATCTTCTTTGCTATTATGCATTCGGGGCTTTGCTAGGTCCGTATTCACCAAGTTTTATTCAACTAATGATTATGATTATTATAATGTACGAGTGTAAAAGAATAAAACATTTATTTTCCAATTACGTATGTATCTAACTAGAAATGTAGAAATCGTAACAACGAGTCCTGTCCTGAGTATCGTTTCTAAGATTTCCTAATTAAACTGCCCGGCGACCAGCTAAAAGAGGTGAGGTGATAATTTTCGGTACGTTGTAATCCAATTAGAGTCGTCTTTGAGAGTTTATATCGTGGACTGTCCCCAGGCTATCGCAAACAAACACATTATAAATAAACACCTCTCATTCCTTAGTGCACGATATTATGAATTTTACGGCACTTTCCACGGTACTTTTTCCCAGAGTGGGACAACACTAGATTGATTTAACTGCCGTAAATGAACTATTAACAATTTTGTATGAGGAATTAAGGAGTATTATAATGTAACACTTAAGTATAAGCATTCATAAACCTTATTTATAACTTGATAAACAAAGAGTGAGTCCTGACTAAGTGAATTTCATGAAATCTCCTAGCAGGTGCTTTATCTGAAAAATCTCATGACTGTTAAATTGTGTTAGAACCAGTTAACGATTAAACCCTAACGTGAATTGTGAATTTACAAATAATAAATCGAATTTACACCACGTGTTAGCGTCGGTCGAAAATTCGCATATTTGCGATTTAATTCAAAATTGGTACCACAACCTCATTGTGAACATGAGAAAACTCTTCTATAAAATTGGGTCACAGTCATGGACTAATGAATATATTCTTTCTTCCATGATCAGAGCAGATAAATCAGTCTTTTTTAAGGTTACATTTTTGAGAGTGAATCAAAAGTACCTAGGTGTCTTTCGGCACAGAAGCAGAATTTTCATTTTGAGAAAAATGTTTTTCGAAGTTCATAAGAAATTCAGGCTTGAGTCTTACTTCTGTAACTGTCAGTAAGTGACTAATGAATGGGTATATGAAGGCCGACTTCGTTTTCAGAAATTTTTCAGAAAATTGGTCTGTCCTTCTTGGAGCTAATTTTCAGTAAGCCATCACCACGGACAGCACCTTTTGGGTCTTTCGTCAACAGTTTGGCGAGTGCTAAATCTGGCGCCCACACACGAATGCTAATATTGTAATTCAACAATAAGAAAGTTTGATAAGCAGTGGGGCAATAGTTATTTTGTTTTTTTATTATACCTATATGAGTGTGCTATATAACAAACAATTCACAAATGTGTTGTGGTGACCGAATTTAAATCAAAGTTTTCGCGCTGAAATTACTTAACAGCGGAGCGAAATCACATTTGAATAATTTGAATTTGAAAGAGAAAAAAAAAATCATCAAAAAAAATCGTTAAACATAAGCAACCTGGTGCACGGAAACGCTTGCTTGATAGTCGGACATTTAATAGCGCTTAGGGGTTAGTTTTGCATGATTATTGAGTCAGACGGCGGCTTGGTAGCGCTAGGGAACTTTTAGTTAGAGGGTTGGTTGGTTGGTAGAGACAGAAACTGCATGGCGGAGCGTCAATGTGCTTGTGTGAGTGTAACCACGTGGTAAGAGCTAGGTGTAAATTAGTTGGTTTGGTAGTTAATAAAATGGGAGGAAGCCTTTGTTTAAGGACAATCAATCGTAACCGATGTCACTCTGTTGTCCCCAACCCGCGCGATTAATCCTTGCGGCATTTAATCGGAAAAATGCGGACTTCCGTTCAACGCGAAACACGTGCTGTAAATTTGTCTCATTGTTTGTAAATTCACCAATCAAGTTAGTTTTTCTTAATCGTCAGCTAGTGCAAACACAGTTTAACAATCAGGATTATTTAAATAAACCACTCGCTAGTAGATTTAATGAAATTCACTTAGTCAAGAAAAACACCTTTGTTATTTCATTACGAATAGGTTTCTGGGTGCATATACGTAACTGTTACATTATAACACTTCTTAATTCTTCACACAAGATTGCTAATAGTTCATTTACGGAAGATAAACAAGTTCATTATACTGCGAACTGGCGGGGGTTATGATAATTTCTTCCCTTAGGTGGTTATCATCGTTATCATGATTAATTCATCGAGGCATGCTCTCACAACACTACGGATTGATTAATTCATCGAGGCATGCCCTCACAACGCTATAGATTGATTAATTCATCGAGGTTCGTCCTCGCGACACTAGAGATTAATAACATCACCGAGACGCTTTTTCCTCGCAACGATTTTAAAATTTACATCAGCGAGACGCTTTTTCCTCGCAACGATTTAAAATTTATATAACCAAGACGCTTTTTCCCTCGGAGCGATGATTGGATATTTTTGTGTTTGTTTATAATGTGTTTTGTTGGGGTAACCAGTTGGCGGTATTTTAAACTCTCAAAGTAAATTATTTTTTTGAAGTAACCAATCACTTAGATCATGATATAATTTGACATAATGTAAACTCTTTGTTTGAATCATTGAAAAAGTGTGGCAACTATTAATCTCATGTAAATTTTGATAACTCTGCAAATTTTCACCTCATAAAATATTTCTTTAATCTCACAATTTTAAACTCAGTCCTGTCCACCTCTTTTCTCTGTTTCACTGACTGATTTTAACAAGTTGTAGAATCCAAGATTTAAAACAAAGTAAAAGTGGAACGGAAGTTGGAATTTATATTGATAAATATATGATTGAATCTAGGATTACATTTTTTTAATACAATTTAATGTTTACTAAATTGTTTCAATTTTTAGATTATGCAATTTTTCGATCAGCAATTTCACTTCTCAATTTTTAATTTTTCAGTTTTTCATTTCTACGATTTTTCGCTTTGCAATTTTTCAGTTTTTTATTTTTTGTTAAGACTGATTTTGGCAAATCACTAGCCTCTGAAAAAATAGAGGGCGGGTGGGCGGGCCTAGTATTTGGTAAGATAAGATTAATTTTGGTAAATGACATATTCCCTAATAAAATAGAGGGCAGGTGGGCGGGGCTATTGCTTGCCTATAAGACTTTAGAAAAAAGTTAAACTCAGTCCCGTCCACCTCGTTTCTCTATGTCACTGACTGATTTTAACAAGTTGTAGAATTCAAGATTTAAAACAAAGTAAAAGTGGCCCCGCCTACCCACTCCTAGTACGTTTTGATAGTTCATTCTTATTGGCTCTGAAGAACGAAAGTTGGAATTTATATTGATAAATACATGATTGAATCTAGGATTACATTTTTTTAATACAATTTAATATTTACTAAATTGTTTCAATTTTTATATTTTGCAATTTTTCAATCAGCAATTTTACGACTTCTCAATTTTTAATTTTTCAGTTTTTCATTTCTTCGATTTTTCGCTTTGCAATTTTTCAGTTTTTCATTTTTTTGTTAAGAGTGATTTTGAGAAATCACTAGCCTCTGAAAAAAATAGAGGGCGGGTGGGCGGGCCTAGTATTTGCTGAGATAAGACTGATTTTGGCAAATCACGTACTCCCTAATAAAATAGAGGGCGGGTGGGCGGGGCTACTGCTTGCCTATAAGACTCTTTAGAAAAAAGTTAAACTCAGTCCCGTCCACCTTTTTTCTCTATTTCACTGACTGATTTTGACAAGTTGTAGAATCCAAGATTTAAAACAAAGTAAAAACATAATATTTCTATTTTTACAAGTTCATTTCACACCAGATTTTTTGTTTCATAAATCCTTGCTAAATTTGTTTTGTAAATACTTTGTTGATGAATGTTTCTATCATATAAATTATTTGATGTCTAATTTTAATCTCATATAAGAATTATTTGTTGTTTAAAATTTCACAAGATTGTATGGCGAATTTAAATGTTATTTATTGCTCGTTGAAACTTTAACAGTTGTTCAGTGGTTCTTAATATCAGAGTTATAAGAGATTGAACATTTAAAAATGGAATTCATGTTAAATAACACAGAAAACGTGGCAGAAGCGAAGTGCGGTTCCTAGTCGGGCTGGCGAGATTTATTGTGTCACCTGTACAAGCCCACAGGTTTGGATAGATTCAGGGGCGGCCGCCGATGTTGTAGTGCTCTCGACTTGGGCAATAGTCGAGATCTAACTGCGGGTCTGGTGATCGTAATGGAGGTAGGCTTTGCGATAGATAGAATCACCGTCGTGGGGGGAGAACAGCCCCAGACCGGTAGCCCCAAACCCCGCTTATGCTAGCACGCCCCAGGAGTACTTTTGTTGTGCTCCTGTTAACTGCCGTAACTTTAAAATCTGACGCCACACGGCCGTAATAACTTGTGTATTTGCATCCAGTTACTTAATTCAGTTTTTGTGTTGTTTTTATTAAATTTGTGATATTCCAAAATATTTACATTGATTCCAAACAGATGTATAGGATTTTGCGTTTGTCCGTTTTTCATATGTGTATGTCTGTCAATTCGCGAGTGTCTTTTCTTTCATATTTTTAAGGTGTTTGAAACATAATATATCCGTGAATATAGCCCTAGGGGTTTTTTGGGAGATGAAGAACGATGGCGATTGGCCCCTGCTGGACGGCCAGAAAGGCACGGCCGAGTCACTCTCGCTCTTCGCTTCTTTTCCTCTCCCTAATTTTTATATATTATTTCTTGCGCTCTCGACTCACACGCAGTGTATGCATTTGTATGTAAGAACGTCTTCCCTCTACTTTTCAAAAAAAAAAAACGCACAACGTAGGTTCCCATTTATTAGACGATCACAACCAAGCCGAATTTTTGAGTTTTTAAATTTTTTCGCAGGCCTTTCAAACTTTTTCAAAGTCAATTTAAAGGCGGGAAGTATGGGTTATCACAGTATTCTTATAATTAGAACTCCTACACCTTTGTATTTACGTATTATTTTCCAAATTGCAGAAAAGCTATTTGTCCATATTTGCAAACTTAAATTTTATTGTCTAAAGTTAGAAGAAACTAAGTGATTAAACCACATAGTTTCCAATACTTTAACAAGAAAATTCTATTTTTGGGAACTAGTTCGACTCTAAAATAACAAAACAGGAACAATTTTTCAAAACAAAAATTTTGCAGATAACGATTTATTTTGAAATGACAACCAGTAAAATTTATTTATCGGTTCCCGTTACATTTCTTATCCAGTCAACAAAATCCAGTGTTCTAGTATACCCAGACGGATCAGTGCTCTCACACCCATTCTGGCTAATAAAACTAGCAATTCCCATATGTGTGTGTGTTGGGCCGTTTCTCATTCTTATAAGGGGAGTACCACTATCACCCTATAATAAAAAAAAAGAATAATAAATTCTGCCCAAAATCAAGTTTGTCCTAACCAAACAAAATCCTTCGTTGTTGTTTCCAGCGGCACAAACCATATGTTCAGTGATTTGATTGCCATAAGTAAGTCTACATACATCATTGGATAACGGAGCCAGGTACACAAAGCGCATTTCATCAACTAAACCAGCGTCATCTAAAAATGAAGATATATATATTTACAGATACTAATAACAAATAATAATAGTGTTCAATTGTACCGTCGCTAATTTGTCCCCACCCCATTGCTACGACTGGAGTTCCTGGCAGGAGTTCGTAATCTGGCAAATAGTTAATTGGCCTTATATAAGCTAAAAAAATATTGTGAAGCAGACACAAAATTTAACGTTCGTTCTTACTAGTAAATGTTATAGGCATTCTCAGTTTAATTACACCAACATCGTTTTCCAAAGTTTCCGGATTAAAATTTGGGTGCAAAATATATTCGTCTGTTGCCAATCTGAGCGTGGTTGAAGTGTCTATTTCTTTTAAGTTAGTCGTTCCTAAATAAATGGTGAACAAAAGAGCCCTTCAAAACGAAAAAGAAACTAGATTTAAGAAATATTTAGTTTTAAATTATACCCATCTACGCAACTACCAGCTGTTAAAATCCATTGGTTATCAAGCAAGGCACCTCCACAGAAATAGTTACCGTCGTTGGTGGTTTTATATATAGCAGCCATGTATGGATACTGGCCAGCCCAAGCAACCTCTCCACCAATAATTCGACTTCCTAGGAAAATTTGTTAACTTTTTGCTTTGCTGTACTGTATTTCTTACTATTTCTGCCCCTTAATTCCGCATTCTGGATAGATTTCAATAAACAGAGATAATGTTGTAAATTTTTAACCACTTACCACTGCAGAAACAGTTAACCAAATTTGCGATAAACACAAAAGTACGAAGATTTTCATGTTGATAAATTTTTTTTGACTGACTTTTCACCCAGAGGTCTCAATTTGGCTCTTGTGTGATTTTATTTTACAACTTTATTTATCAATAATAAAATGATAAAATTTATGAGAGATGTCTATCATCAAGCTACTTATTATTTAGTTTATGGCTTCTTGAAATAACTGATAAAACAGTTCAAATGTATTATATTTCTTATTGTGAGGTTCCGGTTACATTTCTAATCCAGCTAAGATAGGGATAAGTTCTTGTGTAACCGGATGGGTCAGTACTTTCGCAACCATTGGCACTGACAAAACTGGATATGCCAACATGTGTGGAATAAACGCCTCGAATCCATTGCACTAACGGACTTCCAGTGTCACCCTAGAATATTTTGTGTAGCTAATTTTTCGAAAATGATTAAAATCATATGGTATCACGTACTGTACATGCACCTTCGTTGAAACTTCCGACTATACAAACCATACCATCTGTTAGTTGATTTCCATATGTTATTCGGCATTCTTCGTTTGAAACTGTTGTAACTGGGATCCAGTTTAGTTCATCTGCGAGTTCTGAATTGTCACTCGTCTGTCCCCACCCAATAGCTTCAAGAGCACCCGCACTTGCCGGCAAGTTACTTGAAGGCAAATTTGATATCGGTAAAATGTAGTCTTAAAGTACATATGATTTATAATAATGTCAAAAGCTTACTATGTAATTAAAGTACCTGTGCGTTCCACTGCCATGCGAAGTTTTATCAAACCAATGTCATTTTCCAAAGTTAGAGGGTTAAACTCTGGATGGAGTACATATTCGTCTGTTGCCAGTCTAACACTGGTTGATCCTGGTGTTTCAATATTGTTTGTCCCCAAATAGATTGTAAATAAAATAGCTCTAAAAAATATTTAAGAATTGTTAGAATTAATCTCTTCGTGCTTATACCCGTCAACACATTGGCCGGCTGTTATAATCCATTGAGTTGTCAGAAGCGCCCCACCACAGAAATAATTGCCATCAAGTGTGCTTTTGTAAATTGCTGCTGAAAATGGAAATTGTCCTGCCCGAGCAACTTGACCACCAATGATACGTTGTTCTAAAAGTAAAGCTAAACTGTCATTAATATGTTTTGTCCAATTGTTGTGACAAGTTTTCATACCGTTTTGGACATTACACAAGAGCAAAGATAAATAAAAATATAACATAAAGATAAGTTTCATTTTGTTTTAATGTACTTCTTGTAGATTGTAACTTTACTATATATATTTTTTTGTTTTAATAAAACATTATCACAACTGTAATGTTTTTAGTCATAATAAAAATATTGTAGCTATAAACAGATCATGTGATAAGAATTATCATATCACAATCTCTGGCTTAAATATTTACTAAAACAAAAATTTATAATTGCAAAATCCATATTTCCTTATAAAAATTCACAATTTTAAATGTGGTTTAAGTTTCTAAGAAAAAAATTCACCACAATAGAGAAGTGGTGGGTGAGCGGGCTTTATATTTTGGCTTTTTTCTTCATATACATAGTATTTTTTGATAACCCGATACTCAAAAACATGTTTTTAATTTCTTGCAAAGAAATAAGCATTTTGCAGCTAGGCTCCGCCCCCTTGGTTCACGCCAAATAAAAAAAAGTCATCACAATTGAGACAGGTGGGTGGGCGGGCTTAGATTTTGTCGTTTTGTTTTAACAGGGGCAGACTTCTTTTTACAACATGAAACTTGTCGATATTTCCTTATACAAATTTTCCATTATAAACATATTTTATGTTTCATGTTGTGAAAAGAAGTCTACAAACCTTAACACAAAAAGGCAAAATCTAAACCCGCCCACCCACCCTGTCTCAATTGTGATGATTTTTTTTTATTCGTCGTGAGCCAAGGGGGCGAAGTTTAACTGCAAAATACTTATTTCTTTACAAGGCAGTAAAAACTTGTTTATGAGCATGAATACTATGTATATTAAGAAAAAAAAAAAAAATGTCACCCCCGCCCACCCACCCCATCTCAATTGTGACTATTTTCTTATTCTTAGACGCTCAAAACACTCTTAAAATGTTAAATTTGTATAAGCTCCGCCCCATAATTGCAAAATCCATATTTCCTTGCAAAAATTTACCATTTTAACCATGTTTTAAGTTTCTGGTTGTGAAAAGATGGCTATGGAAATTAAGAAAAAAAAAGCAAAATATAAGAATGAAGAAACTAAGAAATATGAATAAGCTTTAAGAACCGAAGTCTTCATTTCATAAATAAAAACACATTAAATATTGTCGAAATTAGAACAATGTGCTTTTGGTAGATACTTCGCTGTGAGAGTGTCCATGAATACATCCTCAAAATTTAAGTCGTAGAAAACACGTATGATAACTAGGCTTCGGATTTTAGGTCGTTAAAAAGTGAATAAAAGGAGATATTTTTAGGACCCAAAATTGACGAATTAGGTTATAAAAATCTTAGTTTAGGTTAAAAACCTGGGGGAAAAAATATTTGCTCAACGAAAATGGATACATCAAAAAAATATATATTAAAAAAAAAAACATTAAATAAAACATTATAGAAACAAATATTTTGTGTAACAAACAAAAAAATGATTAAATAAATAAACGATCTATAGTTACGTCCACTAATTCTAAGTTATCGCAAAAAAATGGTGATCAAATTAAAACAAGTCGCATTTAACAAAAAATAAAATATTAATTCAGGTATGTAAAGTGAGTTACAAGACCAAACTATATATTTCTCTAAATTTTCGATTGTAAATTTACACCTTTGATCGCTTAAAACACTTTTAAGTTTTGAAAACGTGCGTTCCACATCACAAGAAGTGATGGGTGCAAAACTAAATACTGAACACTCTAAGTTTTCATTTATGTATGTATTGTTGATAGCATTTCCATTACCGCAAATTACGTTATTTACTGAACATATAAAATCGTATCCTGGATTCTTTTTAAATAGAGAACATAATTTTTGGAACGCCATTTCCTCCACCTTTCCTGGTGTGTTTTTTAAAGATATATACACTTTTTCCACAATTTCCATACTTTGGTTTAATTTTAAACCTGTAGTTTCTAATTGTTTTATTCCACCAGCAATAATTTTAAAGTGAGTTTTTAATGTTTGCTTTCAGAGCTGTTCAAAGTACTCAAAAAAAGTACTTGAAGTACCAAGTACAAAGTACTACTTGAAATAGTGTTCAAGTAAAGTACCAAGTACTTACTTTCAGCAAGAGTATTTCAAGTATCAAGTACTTTTCAGATGTACTTGAAGTACAAGCCAAGTACATTACTTCAAGTACTTACGAGTACTTGAAGTACTGGAGGTATACTTCAAGTACTTACAAATACTTGAAGTACTGAAAATGCTTCAAGTACTTTCTAATTATTTGAAAAACTGTAGAACTAGATAACTTTTCCTGTTTTTTTAAAAAAGCTTAATATATTTTAGAACTGAAATTTTTAATACTCAGAATTTAAGTATACAATAATACATGTTTCGCCACATAAAAAATTGCATAAGCATCAACTTAAATGCAGAATGGTAGCTCACTTATTAATAATGCTGTTTTATTTATAGACAATATTCTTTTGAAATACTTTTACATCTTTCTGTTGACACAATGCCTTCGACAAAATTAACGTCTATTTCTAATTTAAAATTTAAAATAAAATACATGAGGGCGTTGTCTATGTATGTTTACTATTAATTTATAACAAAAACATCGGCGCTGTATGGTATTTTCTCAGGCTTCTGTTGCCTTTTTTTAATATTTTGTATTTTGGTTCACCAGCAAAACGTTCTGATTTTTTAATAAAGTTGTGTTAAAAATATATGAATTTTATGAACCGGTTCCGTGTTTAAGTTTGTGGGTAGTTTACAGCACCCTTAATCATTACCCATTGTGAAAGTGCACAGGGCCGGATTTGATAAACTGAAATTTTTCAGAAAAAAATTTTAAGAGCAGTGCGATACAATATACATGCTCGTGACATAAAAATATTTAAGACACTATGTTGCATTTTCAAAAAAAACCTATGAATTTATTAAATAAAAAATAAAATGCCTAAAACGAGAGTCCATTTTCCGCGAAAACTGTAACTCTTGAAAAATATCAAGGTGTTCAAAGTAATTAGTCGTTTTTTACTTTTGCGGTTACCAAAAATGCTGAGAATTTTCTTGGAATGAATGCCCCATATTCCTGAATATATCTGTCTACCACTTACGTATTTACTATTCTAAAAATTATTAAATTAACCTAAATACTACAGTGACTAAATAGTAAACACTAATCACTACAATGTTTGTCTAACTAAGTATGTAACTTTACACTGACAAATCACAAATAATAGGTTCGTAATGCTGTTCCGTCCATTTATACAAAATTTTGCTCTTGTAATGCCACAATATTTTCAGAATTTTCCTTTACATTTTCGATTGGCTTATTTTTTATTTTTACCTGACAATCCAAAGAAGATGCCATTAGTAACTGATAACTACAATGACTTCAGGGAATGCATAACAACGGTTTTTGCGAAAATTCAGGTAAATATGTACTAAATTTATTATTGTTAAAATACTTCGTAGGGGTGTATTTATCTAGGCAATTATACTAACTAATCGCGAATTTCATTAACTTTGTATTTTTACTTCCCGAGCGTAAGCCAAGGAAGTACTGTAATCGAGTCCGTCGGCCGACTCTCTACTTTTACGTTTTCTCGATCTTTCATGACCCCTAGAAGACGAAGAAATAGGTCTCCTATTTCCGTCTGTCTGTCCGTCTGTCCGTCTGTCCGTCTGTCCGTCCGTCTGTATGTCCGTCTGTCTGTCCGTCTGCCGTCCCGGATTTTTATTAGACAGATAATCTCCGAAAGTACTCGACCGATTGTTGTGAAATTTTGTACTTATATTAAGAATATCATGTAGATGGTAAAACGCTAACCAAAATTTGTCTAATCATCCCCACCACTAATGCGATGACGTCACTTCAAAATTGTACATAGTAAATGGGTTTTCAATTGTATAAAATTACATAGTCCTACACATGTAGTTAACAACTCCGAATCGACTTTTCACCCGAAACGTCCAGATTTTTGGAAAAAAAATCAAAATTATAAAACAACATTTTGAAATTTAAATTTTAATCTGCTAACCAGAATGCTTTGAAATGTTGCAGATGTTTTAAGGCTATAAAGAGCATCATAAATCTTTAGTCAAAAAATATTTGCTTATCCCCTCCAAAAACTTCATGACGTCAGCTCAAAAGTTTGCGGAATAAATCATATCTAAAATGTACAAAATATGATCAGTCTGTACTTGTGATCTATCACTCCATTCATATTTTTTGGATTTGCATATACAGGGTGATTCAAGAAAATAAATGAAAGCGTAAATTTATTTTACTGATTTACTCAGGAACTACAAAACCGAATGCTTCGAAATCTTGAAGATATTTTAAAATTATCATAAGCATGGTAAATTTTTGATCAAAATGTATTTGGTCGTCCCCCCTAAAAAATTTATGACGTCACCACAAAATTTTGCTGAATAAATCCTATCTAAAATGTACAAAATATGGTGAGTCTCTTCTTGTGATTTATCATTCCATTCAAATTTTTTCGATTTGCATATACAGGGTGACTCAAAAAAATTAATGAATGCGTAAATTTATTTTATTGATTTAATCAGGAACTACAAAACCGAATGCTTTGAAATCTTGCAGATGTTTTAAGGTTATAAAGAGCATAATAAATTTTTAGTCAAAATATATTTGGTTATCTTCTACAAAAAACTGATGACGTCAGCTCAAAAGTTTGCCGAATAAATCGTATCTAAAATGTACAAAATATGATGAGTCTGTACTTGTGATTTGTCATTCCATTCATATTTTTGGATTTGCATATGCAGGATGACTCAAAAAAATTAATGAAGGCGTGAATTTATTTTATCGATTTAATCAGGAATTACAAAACCGAATGCTTTGAAATCTTGGGAATATTTTAAAGTTATTATAAGCATGGTAAACTTTTGTTCAAAATGTATTTGTTTATCCTTCCTAAAAAAATTGATGACGTCACCCTTAAATTTTGCTGAATAAATCCTATCTAAAATGCAAAAAATATGATGAGTTTGTACTTGTGATTTATCATTCCATTCATATTTTTTAGATTTTCTTAAGAGGTGGTTCAAAAAAATTAATGAAGTCAATTTATTTTATTGATTAAATTAAAGGCAACACTTATTATTAGTGTTACACCCCAACCAA